GTACAGCCTGCCAAGACGAGCTGGAAGGTACAGTTGGTGAGGAGATAGGCGGAGGCGTACCAGCCGGCATCGCCGATGGCGTGGAAGTCGTCGGTGATCTTGGGGATGGCGGTCGAGACCATGGTGTTGTCAAGTGCGACACAGAAGACGCCCAGAGCGAGCGAGATGGCCAGGGGGATGCGTGTCGTTGTGGTGTTTGGAGGCTTCTCGACGTCGAGCTTGGACGGGACCTCAGGGTCAGTCGACATGTTGATCAAATCGGAACCCTGGACTGCAGTTTGATGAATCCAGAGACTATTAAAGACAGCGCCAGGAACTATATAGATATCCCTTGTGATAAGTTGTCGCTAGTCTTGTCGAGCTTGTCGATGAGAAACCATATCACAGAAAATATCAGCAATTTATCCATATTCAAAGCTTCCTAGGCATCCAGATTAGCAACGATAATTCCCTTGATAGGAGATGCATCTCCTCCGGCCCCTTGTTCCGTCTCCATGCTCCGTTGTCTCCGTCGTTCCTCCGTTTTCTCCGTTCGGGGTCGACTCGGGCCCGCTGACATAAATCTTCCAAAAACAAGCATCCTCTATGATGAGCTCTGATCAGGTTAGCACCAAATACACCTCCTCATGTTATCACTATCGTCGGTGCTAATACGATGTTGTAAGCAGTAATAATGGTCGTGAGTTGAGCAAGCAGGAAATCAAAATACAACGAATTTGATTGGACGTTCCGGCAGCGGACGCTATACCCAATTAGCCTATTAAGCCAATCAGAAGGCTTGTAGCGATCCACTTAGATTAGATTAGATTAGATAAGAAGAGATTAGATTATCAGATTGTTATCCACGTGCTTTGCATTGACCTAGAATTTCACTTTTTTTTTTAAATTTACAGCCAGAATTTCAAGTAAATGGTTATAGAGTACTACCACAAGCTTCATTCGATGTGGAGTCGAATTGGGGTATACTGAATTCCAGAGGGTTACAGCCCTTTTTAAACAGCATTATATGTAAGATAATACTCAAGACTCTTCGGTTAGCCTTATCTAACTTTGCATCTAGCTATGGAGAGTGGCGGTGGGTTCGCTCCCAGGGGGTCGATTGGATACCAGCTAATTAGGCGTCCATCCATTTCATAACAATCAAAGTCCATATTCTATCATCTTTTTGACTATTATCCATTACCCCTACGCCATGAATCCAGATTTGCATCCCGTCGTCCTCCGCCGACGTCCTCGCCCTCTGCTGTCCTGCACCGAATGCCAACGACGCAAGCTGCGATGCGACCGTTGTCTGCCGTGCGACCAGTGCAAGAAAGGCCTTCACACCGATCAATGCGTTTACCAAGAAAACGTCCGCAAACGCTCTGCAGGAGAGGCGGGCTTGTCCGATCCGAGTCAGGAAGACATGCCCGCAACCACCCCGATCAATGCCAATACCGACACGCAGGTCATCAATGACCTCCAAAGTCGCATCAGTAACCTGGAGACGCTACTTTTGCGCCAGTCGCGGACAATCGACCAACTCCGGATGGATCGTTCGCCTCTCGTTAACTAGGCCAACTTGGCCAACTCGACCAACTCGACCACTGCAGTCACTCCAGACAGCTCCGAGTCCCATCCTCAGAAGAGAAACTACCAGATGCTCTTGATGAGCGAGTTTGACGAAGCCCTCGACTTCATGCAAGAAGCCTTCACCCAGCCAAGTATGTCCCCGGTCCTCAACGAATGCAAACTGTACTGCCGCCAATTCCACAAGCAACTCAAAATCGCCGATGAACAGAGTCGACGGGAAGAGAAACCGCCTCCAGCAGCCATTCTCGCGGTGCTGCCGTCCCGTGGACGTTGCGCCCAATTCGTCAACCTGTACTTCGAATACTTCGAAAATACGTATCGGATTCTCCACGTTCCGTTGTTCATGCGGGATTATAACTTGTTCTGGGACGCGGAGAACGACCGGGCAACCCGATTCTACAGTTTTATTCCTCAGTTGGCGGCTGTGGTGGCCATAATGGCTTCGTTGGATTGGGATGGTGACGAGACCATGGGAGAACGCCCCCTGGGGGGGAGACTGTCCACCATGATCGAAGACTGGCTCCGGTATCCAGACAAGAATCTGACTCCAACAGCAATCTTGCGAATCCGCTGTCTCCTTCTCCTGGCCCGACTGACGGGCGTCGATCTGGTGAAGCGGCCGTACAGTACAACGTCTGGGTCACAGCCGGGGATCTGTTTCGGTTCGCGGTGACGCAGAACTTCCATGCGACCCGAGCGAATTACCGGGAGTCTCGATTTTCGAGGACGAGCAGAGACGCCGGCTGTGGATGACGGTGATGGAGATGGATTTGCAAGCGTCGATCATTTGCGGAAGGATGCCTTCTGCGTACGAGGCCAACTTCACCTGTTGGAGCCCGGGGAACTTCAGGGATGAGGACCTCTGTGAAGAAATGGCCGAGTATCCGGCTCCACGACCGCTGGACGAGTGGACCGACTCATTGGTTCAGGCAATTCTAGGACGGCCCCTTTCGCTGAGACTGAAAGCAATGCGGGTCATGGCGGGCATCACCGGGTCCTCGCGCCTGAGCTCCGCCCTGGAGATTGCAGAACAGCTGGAGCGGTTCATCGACGCGCTGCCAGACGTGCTCCGAATACAGCGGTCCCGGAAACATGGGTTTAGTCGTGTATTCCGTCTGGTGCTGTGCGACCTGCACCTTCGCCGGCCTCTGATTTGCCTGTGGCAGAAGTTAGCATCCATGGTGAGTTCGGATCGCGTCTCGATTCGCTCGACTGGGGAGTTTGCGGTCGTCGATGACGGTTCTGTCACACCGAAGTCTGTTTGACTACGACCAGCCGCCCAACCCAAGGTGATCAGGAACCTGATTTACGAAACCTTGAAAGTCGATCTCATGCGGGCTGGCTTGATCGCGTGCTGGGAAATCAAGCGGCGAAAGCCTTTCCCTCTGCATGATTTGGGCCATGATTCCACGTCCTTTGCACGAGAGCACGAGAAGTCGAGAATGGGAACGGTTCTGCCGTTCGACTCACGGATGATTTGGTCGACGCTGTCGACGAGTTCCAGAGCTTTATACTGCAGAACTTGGGCATCATCTGGACAGACGTGAAGAATGCGCTCCGTTTCTCCATCGACGGAGTCGGCGCAGGACCGGATGTGAGATGCAACGATGCAGGTGCCGCAGGCATGCCGCAGACATGGGCTGGGGACTCTATCAATAGCCGTAAGTTTCACTTCCTTTCTACTAGATACGACTGACCTTTCAGAATGAAAACATGATCCTCCAAACTGCTCCTACGCAATCACTCGAAAACACGTGGATGATCGAGGACTGGATTCCTTTCCTAGACTTTGAAATCGTAAACGTTCCTATCAACCCTCTTTTTACTAGCATGCTAATTCCTTAGCCATCGGACGGAAGTATAGATTTTGGTTTGACATGGGACTTTGATGGAATATCACCATAGAGAATGTAACTGTGTACAAGGACTTTGAAGCGAAAGAAGATATATAGAATCAGAATAAAAAAGCTCAAGAATGTAAGGAGGACGAGCGGAGACGGAGCGGAGATGACTACCTAACATACGGAGATGGAGATAGAAATGGAGATAACTAGCCAAGCCAAGCCAAGTCAATTTAGATCGATCGATCGATCGATCTAATTATTAGATCGATTAGATTAGATTAGATTAAATTATATTAATATTACTCAGTATAGTCATTATACATATTCAGTATATCCGTTGGTTCCGATCTACATACAGTACTGTTGTATATAGATCTTAGCTTTGCTTCAGTGAAGGTAAGGTTATTCATTAGGTACATGTACATACAGAGTACAGAGTACAGTACGCTAAGGCGAGGTTGAAATTCCATACCAATATAGTGTGTACAGCCTGTGCTAATGCATGGAGTAATCACTCCGTACAGCTGAGACAAGGACAGTTGGGATGTATGTATCCAGTCAAGTATCTCTCTCCATTTACTGCCTTAGTGATTACCGAATATTGCTGCACTTTTGTTTACCAAGATACAAAACACTCCGTAATGGTACAGTACAGTACAATCCCTGACGCCGCTCTATATACGCCAAGCTCGCTGCCCATGACGATAAAACAGCATCATCAGGATAAAAGCAGAATCATAACCATAACATCCCGCTAGTAAACCAGACATGTCAACCTGATTAGTAGTTCATGGTTTGCCCCCGGTCATCATATCCCCCGTCATATCCCGCATAATCATCCAGCGACCGGTACCCTGCAGGCCCTCCGCGACCACGTCCTCGTCCTCGACCCGAGTTCCCCCCCTTTCCCCGTCCACCTCCAGAACCACGACCCCGCCCGCGGAAGCTGGGTCCGCCACGACGAGGTCCGTCGTCATGTCGGTTGCTGGGATGCCGGGGTGGTTGCCCATAAGGCGAAGACTCCGAGCCATTCTGATAATAAGACCCGGAGTCCCGCGAGGACCCAGGAGGGTAAACAACGTCTTCATCGTTCAGCTCCTGCTGATGGCGTCGTTTGTTGTTCTTGTTCACGAATTGACTCTCCCATTCGCCTTCGTCTGGATCCTCCTCTTCGACCCGCAGGATGACCTTTTCGCCCACGACGGTGTCGAAGACAAACGCCTTGTCCGGAGGGACCGGCTGCCAGTTCTGAATCCGTCCTGCGTCAATCGGACGAGCCCCCTTGCGGACGGCCAGCACGATAATCGGCGTTGGGTTCTCGGTGTAATATCGCTCCGTCTCGGGAACAGGCTTCACCCGGGCTGCCCATATCTTGTGGTCATACACGGCCGTCCCTGTCACCTGCCAACTGACTTTCTTCCCAAGCCCGCCCACTTTGTCCAGAATGGACTTTGGTGCAGGACGCGGTGTGATCAAGACGCTGTTGGCCATGTACTTTATGTCGTTGCTCTCAATCAGTCCAGGGGGCAAAAGAGGGTGCACTAGCTGAGTGATCAGCCGTGACGAGTCGGCGTTCGATATCAGGTATCCCGTGTAAAATACAGTCCGCTTGATTTGTAGCCGCCCATATGGCGACTTGGTTATGTTCAATGCCGGGTCGCGGAACCGGGCGTTGTGGTTGTTGATCATCTTCTGCACTTCTGCCACCTCTGTTACAGGCGAAAGGAAGGTCGTCCCCTCGGCCACCTGGATGACTTCTGCCAGGATGGGTTTCCTGTCGGATGGTGATGCCGCCGTCAGAAACGTCTTATTTAACTTTTCAAAAAACTCGCGGAATCCTTTCACACTAAAGAGAGTCAGTAACTTGACTGCAGGCCACCGCCACTATGGATCTCGTACTGTTTCACACGGTCTTCATAGACCCGGATTTCATCTGCCTGCTTGTAGGTGAGAACCAGTTCTTCCAGAAACGCTTGTTTGAAAGCCATCGTCGAGGCGAACTGCTGGCCGTTCGGGCCCACTTCCGGTTTGAGGCAGATCAGATCAAAATCAAGCTTGCGGCTTGACACGATGCGCTTGATGAGGTCCGCGAAGCCTGCCTCACTCCGTCCCGTGAGCAGCACCGTCAGAGCGTCTTTCTGCTGCATGCTCAGCTCGACCAGCTGGACGATCTGCTCATTCCACCACCCTTTCCATCCCCGCGCCTCTTCGACTTCGATCCCTTCGCCAGTGGCAGCCAGCAAATTGGGATCGTGCCACCATCCTCCATTCGCGAAGCCATCCTTCGTCTGCAGGAAGCCGACTGTTTGTCCGTTCCACAGCTGGGGGTTTGGGAGGGGACTGTTGAACACTAGGCAAAGTCAGTCGACGTCACACCGAGCTGGAAGCGGAGCTCTCACAAGTATTGTCGAAATCGTAGACGTGGATGTATTTGATCTGCGAGACAGCTATTTCCAGTCAGTAAATTCCCTCAGAAAACAAAAGACATGGCGCAATTTCCCACCAGGTAGCTCCTTATTAGCCACGGACCATCTCTTCAGGCCGGTAATGGTATGCGTCGATGGCCGTCGAGAGTCGCTTGGGGCCGTCCCGTTGAGCTGCGGCGCCGCCATCGAGGAAGACTGCGACTGCGCCGACACGACTGCTTTTGCGGATTTCAACATGAATCAGCGGCAGCCATGTTCTGGCAGATACACTGCCCAGTTGGAGTTGAGAAAGCGTTGTCGTGCTGCAGCGGGCGGGTTGACGGTCATTGGAGCTCCGCCCGGAAAAACGTGATCTTGACTGTCGCCTCCGCGCCTTCTTCCTCCCCGCCCAGCCTCCGCCTCGACATCATGGCCTTCCACGCCTCTGCTGGTCTCTGGTCGAGGATCGCGGTCCATGGACGATGTCAGTCTCCGGCAAGAGATCTTCAACAAGACCCTGCAGGAGGTAGCCCGCGACGATGAAGACGGCTCCGCCAGTCCTTGCGTCATCTGCCTGGACTCGGTCAGCGAACCGGCCGTTGCGGTTCCCTGCAAACATGCCAGCTTCGACTTTATCTGTCTAGCGAGCTGGCTACAACAGCGTCGCTCCTGTCCTTTATGTACGGTCCCCTTGTTTCTTCCGGGAATTATGGCGCTGACGAAGCATAGGTAAGGTTGAAGTGACTGCGGTGAAATACGATCTCCAGGCACCGCAGGGCCCAAAGCTCTATGTCCTTCCCCCCGAACCTTCCACAAAACCAGCTACTTCTCCAGCTGCTGTTCCCGAACGCCGCCGTCCTCCACCGTATAGACGCCCTCCCCAAGCGAGACTGGTCGACACAGAGGATCCGTTGGCACGACGACGTCACATCTATCGCCACCAGCTCTACTCGCTCCGCGTGGGTTCGAATCGTCTCTCGCAATATCGTGAGCTAACGCCGCAGCTCTTTAACCGGGACGAAGAGCTTGTTTCGCGGGCCCGGAAGTGGATTCGGCGCGAATTACGGGTCTTTGAATTCTTGAATCCGGATGGGGAGACGGTTGAAAGAGGAAGACCCGGAGAGCAGAGGCTAGCGACTCGACGGGCGAATAATGCCGAATTTCTGCTGGAATATATCATTGCCATCTTGCGCACGGTGGATATCAAGGGAAGTGCAGGGCAGGCAGAGGATCTGTTGCAGGAGTTCATCGGAAGGACAAATGCGCGCTTGTTCCTACACGAGTTGCAATCGTACCTACGAAGTCCCTACAATTCTCTCCAGGATTGGGATCGCCACGTGCAGTATGAAGACACGGTTCCTCGCGTTGTCTCGCCTGCACGAGATGATCGTGATGCGGATCGCAGGTCGACTCCGGTTTATGCCCGCACCCAGTCAGGAAGGATATCCAAGCCTTATCCTTCGAATCGAACTGGAGATGCATCAAGCTCGCGCGATGCCCAGGCACGGGCTAGGCGGTTGCAGTATGCGCGACAGAGATACCAACCTGACTAGAAGATAGATTCTTTAATTATGAAGACGACATAGCGTTATGAACAACACAACTATAGGCAGCATTAACGCTGGATGACTACGTGGCACGAGTGACGCTGTATATTATGGATCTATGTATATAGATTTGAAAATAATACCCTAATTTAGAGTAGGTCCTCCAAGACTATCCTAATCTAGATTATCGTGTTGCTATCTGTGGTAAGGTTCTCCTTCCATGGTTACTCCCATTCTAAGATTATTGGATTCTATTCACAGAAGCGAAGGAGACTCTCTCAGAAGTTCTAGGTCAAGGCGATCTCACCCATGGAGCAATGGCCATCCAAGACAAAGAAAACAGAATCTGATCGACCTTCCTAAGCTAGGTTAGCGTATTATCTCATAATTTTGATTTTCTCGAATTGCTAAAGACTTAGCATCTAGAAGTTCTAGTTTCTAGTTAAAACAGATCGATCCTATTCGTCGGAAAGACTCCTGGATTAGTAGGTAGGGTGACAAAGGCTAAGACATACCATGAAGTTTGAATCTTTCCTTTGGAATTACCCTTGTGAATGCCCTTTCATGTCATCAGTCACTTATCTCCCTGTCTCCTCCACGGTGAAGAGTCCCATACTAGCAGCAGGCAGTCAGTCTCTGCCAGAGGTGTCTAGAGACAACTGGAATCTGCCGGCAAATTCACTGCTGCAGACATACTTGCAAGTCACGTTCCGCATGACAGTCACTGGACTTCCCTCCTGAGAGGTATAAAATTCCCATCTGCCCGTCCAAATCCTTTTTCCTTCTTACTCTCTTCTCTTCTCTCTCCCATCACAAATCTTTATAATAGTATATTATAATATACATACTTCTTATATTCCGTTGATCCTACTACCGAACTAATGTCCCTTGATGATATCTATCAAGAGGCTCGATGGAGGATGGATGATATCGAGACTGGTTCAGCACACCTGATGCCATCACCAGAAAAGGTTCAAATTGCAAACCAGTTGTTGAGCGATAGGCAGATGGCCCAGCTATACCCTACGAAACTCCATGCAATCGCTGTCAGAAGATAACATGGGTTCTGGAAAATTCCTGGCGATCATACTAACTCTGTACTGCCACAAAGTTTGATCATTGTCAATGGATCGGACCTGGGTTAAAGGCTATTTATTTTCACCTTGAAAAGAACCTATTTCGAATACATGCCACCCGATGATAATTCTTTGCTCTGGGAGAACGTTCCATCTACTGTGCCAAAATAAGTATTCGGGGCAAGGACTGGGTACCAGGTAAGGAATCTGAGTGGTATATGGGGTCTACTTTTCTTATACTAGGCAGTTTGATCCCCTTCACGAGAAATCCTGTTTCAAACGCCCAGCCACTTTTTTTCACCTATGGCAGCCGTACATCGAAAACGTCCAGGCAGAAGAGCTAGGTCAAAAAAACTTGCCTTTGAAGAAGCAGTCCCCCTGAAGACAGGGACTTCATTACGGTCCTTATTTGTGGTGGCTCTACTACATGGTTCTTTACTGGACCCAACGGCTTTCTGGGAACAGTTAAGGATGGCATTTGCTCTAATCTGTCGCATGTGCTTTCAAAGAGGCATTCGCAGATTCATACAAGGACCCACAGCAGAGACCAGATATATTGGGTCCGCAGAAACAAAGGTTGGGATGTCTATAGATTCGGCATTGCGTCGTCATACGTCGTCGACAACAAGCGGCACGACGGAGATTAACATTGCCAATGAACTGGTATTTTTTTTACGGCCGAGCGCGAAGTCTCTATTTTATGACTGAGACAGGGAAGAAGGAGACAGAATACCTCGTTCGATGGAAAGGTCCGGACCAGCACACCACGAATGGTACCCCCAAAGGCTTCTATCCAGTGCAAAGGAGCTCGTCCGGGAGTTTGAAGCGGGACGTCGATAAAGGAGAATCCAACAACTGCGAGGAACGTCTTGGCAAGAGCTGCCACCTCCAAGTCCTCAAAGCAAGAACCTGCGTCAATGTTGCCTGCGACGAGACGATTGGATGCATCATCACAAACCACAAGGATCTCCCGCACCGCGCTGTTAAATGGATCTTTGACACATTTAGAGTCAAGCAGGCTGCAACCAGTGGTTATCTGGTATCCCCTTCCAGACATGGAAAAATTCGAACATGGTCTCGAACGTTACTCTCCATTCAGAACAAGATTGTCGTTCTCGAACTCTGCGTTTCCTCGACCCTTTGATATGCAGATGTGCTGCTTCAGAGACTTCTACTTTATGAGCCTGTTGCGGATCATCCATTATACCTTCTTCAAAAACACTTCAGTGAAACCGTTGATTACATGATGTTTCCCGGAGGGTTGGCTGGTACAGCCTCATGTGATAATCCTCAGTGGCAGAGAGATCCTCTATCTCAAAGTTTTGTTGGACGCCTATCGCATCTTTCGCAACAGGTCCATCTCCATGGAGTTTAATTCGAAGTATTGAGTGAATCTCGTCTTCTCGACTCTCTATTTTGCTGTTTACAACACTGCACGTCTATCATCTGACAGACAGCACTACTCTTTGCTATATCACTTTATTGGAATTGCTTGCGCCACAACCATGAACCCTACGAGTTCTGGTGACAAGGCCGCGATATCCTGGAGCCCTGGAGGCAAGTCGACGCGTTGTGTCACATCTTTTTCCTGTCTTAATCTCATTATCCGTCCCGGCATGTTGGGAGTTCCTGTTACTTTTGTTTCTCTGACAGACATCCGAGACCCTATTTCTCTGTACCCAGGTTACCCACTCCTAATGTGAAGTTGTGAGATGCCTGGGTCTACATTATTCTGAAATCTAGGCTGCCCAGGACCATAGGGCACTCTGGCCATACAATTTCAACAAACAGGGATCTATCAGATACACCAGGATCCCTGCTAGCCCGACAGTTGCCATCAAATTCCAAAATATCCCTTGTTTTCCCGTCCAACTGACCCTTGAAGGTCAAAATTATTCTGATGTACATACTATGTGGCTCCACAACAGCACGAGTTAGCGAATGGCACTTCCCTCTCTATTCACCTGTTACTCGTCTCACATACGGAACGCACCCTGTTTCTCGTTCTGCCTCCAACTCCAGTATCGTTTGGATTCGCAAGGGACATTCTCCCTAGTGAGATATTACCAAATGCTTGTCTCCAACTCTGACCCCTTGGCCTCAATGTTCACTATCGACTTCATCCAGAGATGATGACTGACAGAACGGCACTTATATTATTTGAGGTTTACATTTGCTCCACCCCAGCAGCAAAGATTAAGAGCATGCACCCAGTTTTTGACCTCTGTGAAATTCTTAACAGTCCACCAACAATCTTCCAATTATCAACCATTTCGACAGAAGGGGAAACATACGGCCAGCTGGCGTCTCCGTTGGTCACACCCCTCAGATCATAGCTCATGGTACGACATGGGCTCCCGTATGTCGATCGTACTACTACACACATGTGCTGCATGGAGAAATGGGAGCAAGACATCATCGACAGTTTACCAGTTCGACCCTGTGGTCCAATGACCGAGGACTAAGCTTGAAGACGAGTCGGAGGCGAAAAATGAGAGCCTCTCTCCCATACATCACTCAACCAACTGCAACCAGAAATATTATGATCAGTCATTACCGCTAGACATCATGACCACCGTCGACAATAGCCTGGGATTCTAACACTTAAACGAAGATACCGTAACCTTCGACGGTATACGCGTTCTCAAATTTGACTTCGCGCTGGCTATTAAAGTCAAATGCGCTTATCTCCGAGCAGAAGACGAGAATGGCACGAGAAAGATGGGCTCTGATTTGAAAGATGCTGTGTTTTTAAGCAGAAAGATGAAGGATGCAATAGCTTTTATATTGCAATCTTATAATAAGAGCGTTGCAATTAAGGGGAAAAAAACCCCTTTAGCTGCAGGTTCAAAAAGGGTAATATAAGTGCGGAATTAAGGGCTTGCTTAAAGTGCCAGCTAATTAGAAGCTGCAGAGGGTTTGGCGTTGTGTGGTCCAAAGGATTTAGGGACTTTGCAAGGGCATAAGCCTGAGCCCTATCTCCTGCGGGCTCCAGCCCGTGACAGGTAGGGCAATACAGCCTACAGGCTTAGCAACATATGTACATGTATGTACATACATACATAGCTAATACATATTCGATACAGAAGAGCATAATGCAGAATTCAGACTAAGCACGATACTCCGTACAAACCTGACAACCTCCCCACGAGCAACTTCACCAAATCGTCTCACTGATCGCTGAATAATACTTACTTACTTCAAAGGAACTTGATTGATTCATCACAAAGCCAAAGAGAGAGGAAAACGATCATCATCCTAGCCTTGGTCAGGTCAGATCATGTCAGGATTGATATATACATACATCCCAGCGACTGTATTGTCAGTGTCAGATACAGGGGCTCTGTGGGTTCGCACTGCATGTTCGTACCCTGATTACAAGACATTTGACACCTTCAAGCTGGCGACGGACATCTGAGACCAACTCCATTTCTCTGTATCCAAGTTACCCACCTCCCAACGTCAAGTTAGGAGACACCTGGGTCTATGTCATTCTTGAGACCAGGCCTGTACTGTACAATTTACTGTACAAGATCGTGGGGCACTCTGGCCATACGACTTCAATAAGCAGGGATCCATCAGGTACAGCAGGATATCTGTACTGCGTATATGGTGCTTCATTCATGGATTGAACTCTTGGCAAACCCGAAATAATGCATGCATTTATGTATGTATTCTATGTACAGGCAATAAGAAATACGTTAAATAAAATAAATACAATACTCACTAAGACTCATATAGTAATGGTATCATTGATTCATTATCCAGGCCAGACCTGATGCATGCTGATGCTGTGCTGGCTTGTCCTATTAAAAAGTCTATTCTACAGAATAAGGTATTCATAATCGTCATGATTCGAAGAAGTTCTTTGCCTCTCCTCTGTCCTGTTGTTGCTATTCTTATTTCTTTATTACTATTTTCTTCATCGGTTGATATATGAGATTATGTCATTTCTTGGATAATCTGTGAGTAATATTTAATTATAGAGTAAGTAATGCGTTTAGACTAAACTCCTAGATAACATAGAAGTTAAACGAGATTAGCCTTATAACACAAATAAATTACATTATTAATTCCTTAAATGCGACGTTCCATGTACTGGAAAGTTATTTTTTTCTTAAAAAAAAAACACCTTTAGATTCCTCCACATGCGTACTTCTTTGTAAAAGAACAATCTTTTAATATATAAACGTCTTCTCGTGACGCCGTTTCAAGGAACGTTCGTTTTGAACATACGTGCATTGAATGTCATTATGATCAGTCGATATAAAACATACTTTTTATATAAATATAGCGTATACATCCAGATATCACCCTTCGTCTTTCTCTCTTGTTTATTCATCTTCACCTACACTGTATCTACTCTATATGCACAGAGTACAATAAGAATAACAAAGATTGTTACTCAAAATGACAGACCTCGCGAGACAGGCAATTGCCGAGACCTCCCATATCAACATTGATGAATTGGTCAAGGCAAAGACTGACGACGGAATTGGAAGAGGTGAGAGACAATTCAGAAAGCAAGCAATTCATGGGAACAGTCCAGTCCAGCTAATATGATTGATAACGAATGTACATACATACATAGTCCATTAGAGGTCACATCCATAAGGAATTAACCAGCTGGTTATTCTTCCGGAAGCTTGCGGCTGATTGTTCGAGGGCTAATATCTATCTGCATTGATTTGCCATGTAAGATGGCACAACATAAATCAGTGAAGTAGTGACATGATTAATTATGTTTTTGTGTCAGACTCTGGGAACGATTCGCAGCACAATGCCTCATCGACATGCACTGGCTGGAAAAATACCTCATCACCCGTGGTGGTCGCTCCAAGCCCGCGGCCATCGAGCCCCCCAACATCGAATGGCCCGATAGCCCCGTCGAGCCGGTTCAGCCCACCAAGGAGGCTCTGCTCGTCCAGAAGCGCCTGCTGGATATCGAGCGGTTGTGCTCGCTCGCCGGGAGGTGCGGAGAGACGTCGGTGTCGGATGTGGTGCAAACGCGGTTCCTGCGGAAGCAGACTAAGTATGTCAAGGATCTCGCGGACTTGCTGCAGCAGGTTTCTCGCGTGTCGAAGCAGCCTGGGGCGGGGATTTGCGTGCTTGATAAGGAGTTGAGGCGCAGTAAGGAACTGGTTGAATGATCCCGACAGGCAGGATAAAGCGGCGGAAGAGATCACTACGAGAATCAGGGAGGGGTTAGAGCTTGACCATCATGATGGCGATCACTGAATCTGTCGGGAGACTACGAGAGTGTCCCAGGTGCTTTGGATCAAGTGACAGTATGAGACATCATAGGGTTGAGTATGATAAAAAAAAACTTCAGGTTCACACGCAGTTTGCTCTGTCCTTCTCATTGGCGCGATTATAATGGGAATATCAACATATTATGTCTTGGAATCTCTCTATGCGGAATCCCTTTGCAAATAGCTTTAGGTGTAAGCAATGAGCATCATTACTGCCTACCCGGCCATTGGCGGTGTCATTGCAGGTGCAATTAATATCAGGAAATTAAGGAGCAAGATGAGCTTACAGAGAATCATAATATGTAGAAGCAGCTGCGGTGAGAACCAGCGCTGCCACATTCCCCGGATCCGGGGCTGTCATAACGTCAAACCGGGCTAATTAACTAATCCCCGGCTCGCTCTCGTGCTTCGGCGTCCATTGCTGTAGTTGCCGTTCTGATGCCGTGGAATTGTCCCGCGTCGTGACTCCAGAGAGTGTATGAATGTCACTGAGTGATTTATTTCAGCTGCTGCCCATGTTCCACTTATCTTAAGAGTGCTTCGCGCATACCTCCACAGCTCGTCCACGCATTGCGGAGTACATTTGGCGGTCTCAAAAAAAAACACTATACAAGGCCTAAAATTACATACAAATCCCCAATCAATAAAGCCAAGTATCGCAAAATATCTCCTTCATCGAACGCTTTTCTATTGCCAAGATGTGCCTGAGATCCCACTGCCCACGATGCAGTAAGTACATACTCTGTACACCTTGAAGACTATAATTACTCTCGGACTCAAACCTGATGACGAAAACAGACAAAATCACCTGGTGGGGCTGCGGAAAACACATCCCCAAGGTCATGGACCAGGTTCCTGAGAATGACCGCTGCACATGTACCCCGCAAGTGGAGGTGGATGGGAAGAAGTATCCTCCCAAGGGTGACACGGCTGATTTACTCTCTGGCAGAAGATGTTTGGTGATGTGAGGCATTGATTGGAGGCAAATTGCGCAGCAAGATGCGGTGCGATGTAGAATACATGTAATAATTATTGCTTGTTACTTTAGTTTTTTTAGGTGATGCCAATTTTGAGCTATCATGCATGACGCTCTACCAGCATCCAATTGTGTATAAGCATGTTGTACGAGGCTCTAAATAGCGCTGAAAGATGAAGAAGCGCATGCAGGCCAACTAGATAATTTATAATTTATACATTGTCATGCTAAATACAAGCTATGATACATGTCGATTCACATCAGTAGCTTTCATCCAGTGGTGGCAATTGAAAAACACAATATGCGATCACTTGCGGCCCTCTTTCCACCACGAATCAGCCAGGGGATGAATATCTGGTTTCTCGATGCCTCTCCGCTGCTCCGCCTTCTTGACATGATCGACGCCGAACCGGGCATCCCGCTCCTTCAGCGCCGTATTCAGATCGACCTGACCCTCCGCGGTGAGCGAGCCCATCAGCGTCGGATACCCCAGCGGCAGGGGATCGCCGCGATCAATCTGCCAGAAGTGCCAGGTCTTGCCGTAGAGGCCGATAATCTCCTTCATGGCCTCCGTCTCGGCTCGCTCCCACTCGTCCGGATCCACGCCCTCTGGTCTGGGAAGAACGAGCATGCCAGATTTCACCTCGAAGTCGTGCGAGTGCCACAGCTTCTTCTCCTCGTCCGGCAAGCTGTTGTAGACATGTTTGGGTATCATGTATTCCACCCCGATCAGCCGGGCGTTTTTCTCAGGCGAGTCGTAGATGAGACACTGGCGCAGGTCGGAGCGGACGTGCGCGCAGTAGTGGGTCGCCTCCACGTACCGGGTGATATTGTGACGGGCCTCGTCGGTGTAGATGTGGAGGGCGTTGAGGAATTCACAGATGTTGTGCAGGGGTTTGTACTCTTTGTTTGGGCTAGAGTCCTTGCCGCAGGACATGGTGCAGTCACACGATTAAAGGAGTGATTTAGAGTGATTCGATTTAAAGAGTGGTTAGATGTTAAATATGAGAATGTAGATGAATCTGTCGTTTTGGAGTTGATTATCAGGGGCTACGAGCTTCCTAATTTATCCTCCCTGCTGGATTCATCCCTCCTGGCCAAGGACATCGGCATCCCGAGACCTGCCAGACATGGAGATGAGGATTGATGTCAAGATGACATTATCTCGCTTCCCCCTCGGCGATCTTCTCGGGGATAATGTGGGCCAGGCCAGCTGTTTACTTGTAACGTAGCCCAAGTTCTACAACAGTTACAGTAAGGGATGGTTTTACATTGGAGTGTTTGGGTAATTACTTTGTTGTTATCTGACCAGAAGCTGACGATATAGAAGTTTCAAAGGGCATCATCATCATGTGTCTACCAATAGGTGTCGTGCTTATGGTCGACATGTCTATCTGATAGATAGATAATCATCTATGTCTCTGTTCGGCGAACCGGATGATGGAAAAATGCGGGGAATCGCCGATCTCTCAACCGTTCAGTAATGAACTTATTATCTTAACTAACCACGGGTCTGGACTCTGGATCCCCTGCGCTATTACCGGACAATTTCGAAAGATCCGAAGAGTTCCGCGGGTAGGGAAACGGTCGTGCATAGAAATCGATAAGATGGGCCATCTTATCGAGATCGCTATACAAGGAAGAACGCCACAGAGAACCTTGCCACTCATTTCATGTTACGAGTATATCCTATATTTAGGACTCGCTTCCTCTCCCAGGTAACGAAGGCGACATATGATATCAGTCCCCGAATGACTGGCAGCAAAATGAAGACAGTCGGATCTCACTTCGCCGAGCAAGAACGAAAAAAAGCAGTTTTCGATAGGGCAATTCGCTTCTCACGGATCTGTAGATCTATACCGATGATGAAGGGGGCGCTGGGACAGAGTATCCATTCCCATCACCATCAAATACGAAATCACTAATTAAACATCGGCACATGCATTAGCTGCACCCGCGTCTGATGTGCTAGCCCTATTTGATATTCAATGATCTGTATGTAGTGCAGCGCAGCACTAAAATATCAAGGAAAAAAAAAACTCACGAATACCGAACAATTTTAACTTGTTTAATAGTCAGTAGTCGATAAAGGTCTATCAGATTGCGTTGCGTTGCGTTTAGAGTCCCTCTCTCCACACGTATTCGCCTGCCCACTTTCGTTGAGGGAGCCATAATCATTAGCGGAACAAGATGCGCGTAGTAGAAAAAAAAATATGCTTGTGAAATCCGAGCGATCTCAGAGGCAGCTTCGAAGCTGTGAATCGATTTGTGTATACAGCACAGTACAGTACCATCGCTCATTGGGTTGATCTCGCTGGATTTGGATTTATTATGCCTTCACTTTTCCAATCTCAACTATAATAAAATAATGTCTAGTCTCTCCCTCTATTTTTTCTTCCAGAGGCTGGGAGCAATCTATATACTGTATATGTAGACAATAAGAAATACTTTATGTTATATAAAATAAAATACAACGCTCACTAAGACCATATAGTAGTGGTATCATTGATTCATTATCCAGACCAGACCTGATGCATGCTGATGCTGTGCTGGCTTGTCTTATTAAAAAGTCTATTCTACAGAATAAGGTCTTCATAATCGTCATGATAAGGAAGAAGTTCTTTGCCAAATAGCTCTCAGTCAAAACTAATACAGATTGCTGAGTCCCAGCTATCTCCGCCGACCAAACCTCCCCCGCTGCCCCTTCGCCCCCTTATTGCGAAGTTTCAACGCCCGATAATTGGCGTGTGCTTGGGGGTTGATCTTCCTCGTGGTGGATTTCTTCGCCTTCGTCTCGTTGTCCCCGTCCCCGTCTGCTTTGTCCTTGTTCTTCTTCTTGTTGTCGTCGTCATCGCCAGGTTTGGCCCTTTTCACGACTGAAAAGGCTGCTTTGATCTTTTCTGAGAAGCTGGATTTTGGCCGTTTGGTGGTACGGGATTCGTCTTCGTCTTCGTCTTCGTCTTCGTTTTTGCCGTCGTAATCGGCGTCACTATCGTCTTCGACATCGACATCGGCATCAGCATCGACATCGGATGCCTGGTTGGAAGCTGCATCATCTGCGTTTTCGTCCTGATCTTTCGCCTCCTTCTCTGCACTCCCCTGGCGAACTGGTATAACCACGGCCAACTCATCCTCGCTCTCATCTTCAGCTTCTGGTGCAGCAGTGCTCGCTTGCGGCGCTGGTTTCGGCTTAGGTGGAACAGGCTTCATCTTCACCAGCCGCGTCGTCCGTTTCTGTCCTCTCTTCTTCCTCAACGGCCGCCTAGCATCTCCGTCGTTTGCTGGCACCTGGCTATCGCCGACCTGGACATCCTTGGCTTGAGCCGCCTGCGCTTGTTCCTCCTCGATCTCTCGAAGGATCTCCCAGTCCTCTCGCATGCGTTCCTCTTCCATATCCCGCAGTCCTTGCACTAGCGCGCTCAGCCCCTTACCCACAAACCGCTGCGGTTTGCGCACTGCTACTGGACTCAAATCGGTAGCACTAGGATTGGGATTCGACGTGAAGCGTCCCGAGTTCGACCGGCGCAGAAACGATGGCGTCTCCGACTCCAGTGGATTAGCCTCCGGGGCATCATTGGCGGCCGTTTGAGAGGCATTGTGTCTGTGGAGGCCACTCTCTTCATCCTCGACCATTGTGGCGTAACGCAGCGTCGTCGGTGTCGCAAAAAGCTTCTCCAGATACAGCTTCTTGCTCGAAGAGGCCGGCGTCCGTCCCAGTCGACCAGTTTCCTCTTCCTCCTCGTCCCCTTCTTCGATAGTGTCCAACTTCACTTTCTTCGACGGCGTCTGGATCGCCTCCTTCTCAAGAGTAGCCACCCGTTTGGCCGAGGGCGTCGCAGTGCTGCCACCGGAGGCAGAGAGCAGATCAAAGAGTCCGAGCACCTTGCCATCGCGCTGCGGAGTCGGGCCAATTGCGGTCTTGAGCGGGAGAGGAGACTGGCTCTGTCGATGGGTGCTGGGACTGAACAGGCGACGGAGGGTGGAGGGAGAGTCATATGGATCGAGGTCTGCGGGATGCACGTTCGTCGTCCGGCCTCTCGACGGCGTTAAGAGTTCTCGCCTGGATGCCTTTCGAGGAGTAAAGCCATTGCTCTGGCCTTCCGCGCCCGCCAGGGAAGAGTGCTTCCTCTTCGCCTTGGTCTGCTGCGATTCCGACTTGGACGGCGTTCTGTCCGCATGGCTCTGTCTCGACTCGCTCGACGACGCCTCCAGGGCTCGTAGACGGCCATAGGCTTTGTACTTGGCAGCTGATCGGCCGCGACGTCAGCGACAGTCGTTCCCGGGACAAAGAATAGAGTACGCACCAATGGCAGGATCCTGTTTGATGTCGTCACGCCCGGCCTTTCGTCCTCCATTGGCGGCAGCAAAGGCCTTCTCCCATTGCTTCAGCTCGGCGCGGAGCGAGGTGAGCTGTTCGGCGTCGGCAGGACTGAGGACGGAGGCAGTGGCCATGGCAGCATAATGTTGGCTCGACGATGACGGCTATCAATGCGGTAATAGTCAATTCGTGAATGGCGATTTCTGGTGTCTGGTCGGTGGACAGCTATGTATGTGTATGTCATGGCAGTCTCGCACGGGCATCTCCATGTCGCGTGTCGCGGCTGCAACGCGCGGTCCGCCGGATGATGCCGCGTCCGCTGCTCGCGTCGCCGCCAATTCCCGCTGCATTGCAGATACTCTACTCCATACTTGCAATAATGCTAATTCATTAACTCGTCCTGCTAATTATACCGATATCTGGTCATCCTGAAACAATAAAAAATTCAAGACAATTCTAGAATGCCAGAAATGAGATTAAGGGCCGAAGAAAGTCTAATATCTGGTTGCTAACACGTCTAGGATTGCTCTCCCTGCTTTGCCAGCCAAGCTTCGTGGGCTTTCTTCTGCCTTTCCCATTCTTTTCTTGCTTCGACTCTTGTTGATCGGCTCACCGGCTGCATCTTTCGTGGGAATACCATCCTCGTCCCAAGCACTGAATTCGCTGGTCCGGAACATATCCAGATGGCTGATCCTCCCGCTTTCAAGTTTTTCCTGGGCTAGTTTTTCTCGCTTCTCCTTTTCCTGCTGCTTCTGCAGTGCACGCTGGGCCTGCTCTTCACGAGCCCGTAGCAATTCCTTGGTGACGGGGCGAACAAGCGCTGGTTCATTGTCCCGATCCTCGAGATAAACTCCCAGGTCGAACAGTTCCAAATAACGGACACGATCGCAGAGAGCTAGTAACCCTTTGGAAGCGTTTGAAGACTCTTCAGGCTGAATGAGGACACTCGTGCGCGGAAATCACTTAGTATCTCGGCATATGGCCTGGCCGCATCAGTAATCTCTCGTTCACTGACTGCCGTGGTTTCTAGAATGTCTTTGAGTCGCTCAGAAGTGATTTGATCCCCTGATTTTGCTGCTTGCCGCAGCGAGTCGCGCATTGCCGATAGTGGATACAGGAAAGGTTTGGCAGGCTCTGGGATGTCAATACCCTGCCAGCCGATTTCAGGGCTGTCAGGAGACGCCGCGCCATTCAAACCGAAGATGGTCACCATCGATGTAATCCATCGTGCTAGCTCATCAATGACCTGTGGATCTAGAGTCGACCTGTCAAGACTGTTGAATGTCGAGACCAGCTCGGAAATAACGCTCATTGCTCCAGGGGTATCAAACGAATCGCAGAGGTGTTCATGAACTTTTTCTTGCGCAGCCTTGAGAGCATCGGCAAGGAAGCGGGTTGAAGAGGACGCTGCCTCGTTGCTAGAGGAGGAGGCTTTTTGTGCAAATGGGTCTTTCACTTTGAGAAAGAAATTATTGAGCTTTTCTTCCCACGCTGACCCCGCCTTGATGAGTTCTTCCGTGAGTTCGACTCCTTCTCGCCAGCCACCCAACAGAAACACAATTCGCAGACTCCTGGGGGTCCAATCACCTCTGTCGAGCGCGTCCCGGATGGTGGTGAAATTTTTGAGCGATTTGGACATTTTCGCCCCCTAAATAGACAGGTGTCCCATGTGCAAGAAATAATTCACCCATTGGCGGTGCTCCGACCAGTAGGCCTCACTCTGCGCAAGCTCGTTGTCGTGATGCGGAAAGGCAAGATCAATGCCTCCCGAATGGATATCAATCTGGCTCCCCAAGCAACTGGACGCCATGGCTGAGCATTCGATGTGCCAGCCTGGTCGTCCTGGGCCCCACGGGCTCGGCCAGCTGGGCTCTCCGGGCTGCGACGCTTTCCAAAGAGCAAAGTCATCGGGAGACTTCTCCGCTGCCTTGGTCAAAGCCCCTTCGCCCGACATCTCGACTGACTGGCAATATGATTTTCAGCCCCGGCTGGCATCATCTGGCGATAACAGACATGGTGTGGTGACCAGATGCATATTCTTGCTCAGAAATAAGTATCCCATGTATATACTTATTGTCACTACTATCATTGATAGGTTAATAGAAATAAGCCGATCCTCGGAAAAAATCCTGACATGGAGAAACAAGCCGCAACTGATCTGCGATGCAATAATAAAATCAATTAATCGTTCCTGGCTTGGCTGTCGCGTATCCTCGAAATCATTGCCGATGCTACCCCGGAAGAAGCGCGCCTCTTAATTGACATTTGACAGACCGGATGATATAGACGAGGTAAGGACAAAAGCCTAGAAAAACGCAGATTCGTCTCGTGGACAGCTTCACGATCCGAACCATCTTCTGCTTTCAATATTCTTGGCTGCCATGCACCTGCTTCCATTTTTTGCTCGCAAATTCACCAGACCTCCATACCTCAAACTCAGCCAGGGACGCCTTCAATTCTTCCTCCATCCGTTTCAGCGGCAGTGGGAACTCCTTTCCGTGAAATCGGAAGCGGAAGCCATCTTCTGTAAGGTAACGTGAGAAGGACGTGGTGGTGGTGAACCTGCCCTCTTGCACCGGTCCGTCCAGTGTGAATCGGTATGTCCAAAGGGGCTGAGTCGGGCGATGTTGATGATGATGGCCCACGTCCTTCCAGTAGAAGTAGATCTCTGCAGTAAAGCTGCCTACCAATGGGCAACTATGATCCTGATGCCACTTCAGGATCTTGTCTGCCAGGCAGTCTGCATCCTGCATGCCGCGAATATCTTCATCAGTTAGGCCCCACGGGGATCCGTTGGTTCTTGTCCCATGCTCCTCAATATTAATGAGGATAACAAGATCGGTGTTTCTGGACCCAGAGAATATCCTCTCTGCATCCTCAAACAGTTTGGTGAGAGGCTCTGAGACCCCGACCTCAACCGCGATAACCGGATATCGCGTCTGGCGCTTTTTCAGCAGCACATCTGGGACCTTTTTACCGGGGGAAGGCGAATGGAGAAGCCTGACATCTGCTTGACAGTCAGTACAGGGCAAGTCAACCAAACAAACTACATGATGGACACGTACCGGTCTCGTAACAAGCCACGTACTCATCGTTTTCGTCTTGAATTCCCTTGGCGATTTTGCTCAACCAGTCGTATATCAACACTACTAGCAGCCTGATGCACAGGGCCTGCCGTCTTGATGATGATGTTTTGTAGGTTCGCATCATATTCAATGCCGGGCGTCTCGCACACTTCGGTCTCTGACCATTGCTCGAATTCACGAGGTTCAACCTGGGTAATGCAATTCATTCCCCGTTCCCTAGCCATGTCCCTCCCCCCCAACTTTGATACACGGCTTCAGGGCTTGCCTGGAGGTTTTCCACGCGAATCCTTCCTGCGAGCGTTCCTCGCAGGGCAAGCACTTTGTCCCGCGTCAGGTCCTTGATGGATCGGACATTGGAAAGAATGTCGTTCACTTCTTGCTGGGGGTCCATGATTGGTGGGTCTTGGAAGCAGAGATTTCGAGTCTTCGATTTCCCCATTCACAAGAGCAGCAGCGTGGGCTTTTATAGCCCTTGATACGAACCGTCGCTTGATCGAGGCCGCGAGTGGATCCCTGCGCTTTGTGCCAGGGGTTGAGGTTGTCGGAGTTGGTTCGAGGCGGCCTTCATTGTTGCTTTGACTCCGAACATAGAAAGAGGGAAACCAGTCTGCCTCGCCATAGACAGCCGCCATGGTTGGAAGCAGGGGTTAGTGGATCTTGGGCCGAGTCAAAAAAGTGGGTTGAGCAAGGTCGCAGGATGCAGTTGCAGAAAATGAGTACATCTGTCTGGCTGGTATACTCTATATATACTTCGTGGCTGTCATATTCCTGGCCCTTCTGTTGCTATCGCTTGGCGGACAAACAGCGATGGCAGCAATATCGCAACAAAGGGCCCATCCCTCTTCCCTGGGCACACACATACACTGGGCTGTTCCTGTCTTTGTTGATCTAGCCGGATATGCACATAGCCACCTCTGTTTTTTTCCTGCTTTCTAGAGGTAACAAAGACTGGACTCTGCTGCATGCCGCAAAGCGAAGAAGGAACACAAAGAGTCGTTAAGGGTAGATGATGGAATGGATCCTGGTTGAAAGGTAAAGTATCTCTGTACCAGGCATTCAGGCGAGAAAATTTGAGGCCACTGTTTTGGCTTTTACAGCCTTGTACCTTGATAGTGAAGACAATAATAGTAATATTATATTATCTTTGAGACTACAGGCTCACATCTGACAGTGACAGGTGAACTCTGCCTGGAAAGTATTCCTTTTGGCATCATTTCAAATGCCAATAATTCAAGGACTTCTTTCAAGGTCTAAATTAATACTATATTAACTATACTAAATATGTAATCCCCTACCTGTGAACTAACTACACGATCCAGTTAGTTTTGCCCCTTGGTACAGATCATACTATAGCCTTAGGAGTAGCTCATTATGCTAGGCTTCAAAGGTTAATATTCTAATAAGCTCTTCTAGTATATAATAATAACTATTATGGTTATTAAAGAAGAATAGACTTAAAGTGTGACAGCTCTGCATTTGTGCCAGAGTTAACTACATTTGTTTCCCCTTACTTACTTTGTTTGGTTCCCATTTCCTAGACAATATACAGTACATCAGGCTTCGATGTCTAATATGATAATTTGACTTTCAGCCCGGTTGGCATCACGGATACATATTCTTGCTCAGAAATAAATATCACATAATGTGTTGTACACATGTCACTATCATTATTGATAGCCGATCCTCGGAAAAAATCCCGACAGACACACGGCAGAGGCAAGCAAGCCGCCACTGATCTGCAATGCAATACATAATATCAATTAATTAATAAAAAAATGCCCTTCCCCGCACTTGGTGCCTTGCCTAGTATCTAACTAACTAGCTTACTCCACGACTAACTAGTCTTAGTAAATAGCAGACATGCTGAATATTTCCACAAATGAATGTCAATAGAATAATGGTCAGCTTCGACCTAAAATACAACATGCAATGTATTACACTAAGGGGTCAGCTCTGGATGGATCTGGATTGTTTCTCCGTGAAACCGGCCGAGGCGAGCAATCGGATCAATACTCTGTAATGCGTGTGAAAGGGGGGATTGATTGTGGGGTAGTATATGCATGCAAGAACATACGTATATCAGCAATGACGAAGTAGATTCAATCAAAGTATCCTGCCTGCCTGCCTTCCTGCCTGGCAAACACCTAGCAAGATGCCTCCCTCACCATCACCTCCTCCTACTACTACGACGAAGCTCCTCCTCATCTTCTTACAACTCCTAACTACATGTAGTTTCTCAGCAGCAAAATCAATATGGTCCACTACGCCAGGGAACTACGCCAATTTTATCTCGACGGCGTTGCCGTTGGGGAATGGTCGATTGGGGGGTGAGTTGCATTTTCCTCTCTCTCTCTCTCTCTCTCTCTTTTTTATGTCCTTTCTTGCAATGATTCCATCTGCTAACATGGCATCTATCTCAGCCATGCCTCTCGGCACATATAGCAAGGAGATAGTGAACCTGAATGTGGATACCTTGTGGTCTGGAGGACCGTTTCAGGTTGATGTACAAACCCCCATCCTGTAGAATAAAACCATCCCGTCAATAAAAAATATCTGCTAACAAATCAGAACTACACCGGCGGCAACCCTCTAACCCCCGTCTCCGGTGCCCTCCCCGGCATCCGCGAGTGGATTTTCCAGAATGGCACGGGCAACGTGACGGCTCTGTACGGCAATCCTAATTATTACGGCTCGTACCAGGTGCTGGGGAATTTGACTGTCGATCTCGATCCTAGCCTGGGCTCGGGAACCAATGGTTCTGTCTCAGACTACAAGATGGCTCTCGATCTTGAGACGGGGATTTATACGAGTGGGTGGACGGTTGGGGATGTACAGTATCAACGGTAGAATGCCAGACGAATCCCGTTTGGGATGATTTTTTTCTTACTGATGTATATACTAGGGAAGCTTTCTGCTCGTATCCTGACCAGGTCTGCGTCTACCATGTCACTTCTTCTACGGCCCTCCCCGCCGTCACTATCGGGCTTGAGAATCAGCTGAATTCCCCTGCGCCGCAGGTCAGCTGCCAGAACAACAGCCTCAATCTGTACGGGCAGACGCAGGAGACCATTGGGATGGTGTTCAACGCACGAGCCATTGTCGTGACGTCCAAGCATCAAGGAGGGTTCTGCTCCAGAAACAACAGCAGCAACTCCGAGATCGTCGTTCCCGCAGGAGAGACAGAAATCTCCGTCATCGTGGCAGCCGGGACAAACTACGACGCCTCCAAGGGCAACAAAGCGTTCAACTACTCGTTCAAGGGCGAGGATCCGTCTGCTTCTGTCCTGCAAACCGCGACAGCGGCGTCACGCAAAAGCTACTCCCAACTCAAAGACGCGCACGTCCGCGATTTCTCGGCCCTCTTCAACCGGTTCAACCTGACGCTGCCGGACCCAAACAACTCGGCCAGCAAACCCACAGTGGAGGTCATTGGCGCCTACAACAATGTCACGGGCGACCCCTTCGTCGAAAGCCTGCTCTTCGACTACGGACGCTACCTGTTCATCGCCTCGTCGCGGCCCGGCAGTTTGCCGCCGAACCTGCAGGGCCGGTGGACGGAGCAGCTGGACCCAGCCTGGAGTGCGGACTACCATGCCGACGTCAACATCCAGATGAACCACTGGCACGTCGAGCAGACGGGACTGGGCGATCTGACGGGGCCGCTGTGGTCGTATCTGGACGAGACGTGGATCCCGCGAGGCACGGAAACGGCGTATCTGCTGTATGGCACCACGCAGGGGTGGGTTGTGCACGACGAATTGAACATTTTCGGACATACGGGGTGAGTCGCGCCCAAACATGGTCATAGGAAACCCTTCTGATAGACTCAGGATGAAAAACGACGCCACCTGGGCCGACTACCCCGTCGCGCACACATGGCTGGCGCAGCAGGCCTGGGATCATTTCGACTATTCGCAGGACGTCCACTGGTTCCAGTCGACCGGGTATCCGTACCTCAAGGGCATCGCGCTGTTCTGGCTGTCGCAGCTGCAGGAGGACAAGTATTTCAACGACGGGACGTGGGTGGTCAACCCGTGCAACTCGCCGGAGCATGGGCCTACCGTAAGTTCACCCACTGCGAAAGCAGAAGAAAGTTTCCGAAAGCTAATTTCCAGACCTTCGGATGTATGCACTACCAACAACTCATCCGCGAGCTCTTCGAGCACATCCTTCGCGGATGGGAATCGTCCGGCGACACCGACATGGCATTCCGCTCGCAAGTGCAGGACAAGCTGGCCAAGCTGGACGACGGCGTGCACGTCGGATCCTGGGGCCAGCTGCAAGAGTGGAAGCTGGACATTGACGTGCAGAACGACACGCACCGCCACCTGTCGCACCTGGTGGGCTGGTACCCGGGGTTCTCGGTATCGGGGATCTACGGGTTCAACAAGACGGTGACGGACGCGGTGACGACGACGCTGTACTCGCGCGGCACGGGGGTCGAGGACCAGAACACGGGCTGGGGCAAAGTCTGGCGGAGCGCGTGCTGGGCGCGCCTGAACAACACGGACGAAGCGTACTATGAGGTTAAGCTGGCGATCCAGAACAACTTCGCCGGCAACGGCCTGGACCTGTACAACGGCGGCGTGCCGTTCCAGATCGACGCCAACTTTGGACTGCCGGCGGCGATGCTGGCGATGCTGATCCGCGATCTGGATCGAGCGAGCGACGACATGCGCCCGCAGGCAGTGCTCCTGGGACCCGCGATCCCGGCGTCATGGGGAGGGGGGAGTGTGTCGGGGATGCGGTTGCGGGGTGGAGGCACGGTGGACTTTACGTGGGACAGCACGGGGACTGTAACCTCGTGCAGGGTGGACAAAACCGGACGGGGGAGAAATGCGCCTGCTCTGACGTTCTTTGTCAAGGGAGGGCGTGCCATTAGCTGTTAATCAGCTGTTAATTCGAATTCATCTAGCATCGTTTGCAGAATGAATCATCAGTTGAGCTAGCCCTAGCCCTGAGCCCTAACCTGAGCCCTAACCTGAAGTAATACGAATTAAATGCGCGGCATTCTTCTGTAAGATGCTTACCATCCAGCCCTACAATTTTACCTTCAATACGGCGTACACATGGAATCCACATAATAACCACTCCCTTGAAAGCAAGCTATATCCAGGCATGTGCAAAGCATATGAATAGCCATACCCTGTCTGGGAGGAATTTTTTTTTCGCCCGCGAATTACCCCGCATCTATCCAACATCTAGGTATCTCCCCACCAAACGAAAATACCCGAAAGCAGCCGCGGGGTTGGGGTTCTGTACCAATAGGACTCTCGGGAAGATAATCCCCCGAGAATTTAGCCGAGATTTGTCTATGACTATAGAACCTGGAGGGAACTGTCTATCGGCGCATCCCCGAATGCAACCGTGGAATTCCTGCCGGAGAAGCGGAGGTGCTGCGAGGTGACCTACGTACCTAAGAACTGCTGCTGCTGCTCTGGACTCTGGAAAAAGGGAGGATAATAATAGAGAAGATTGTGAATGACGTGTGATTAATTAATTAATTATTTATTTATTTATTTAATCGAATTCTTTTAACTAGCACGTGTAGTAGGTACTGGATAGAGTCTAATTAATAAGGAATTAGAATAGACCTGTCTAGGTCTTTCTCCTTACATCCTCTCTTTCTTCATACACTCGTATCACCCCGCACTACTACTTACTGACCTCGTGCAACTAACTTCTATCTATTCTCTGTACTGAATTCATACTCTTTCTCCTACCTACATACCTACTACTACCCTACTCAACCATCTCCACCATCTCTAACGTATATACTACTTCGACATGACAACCACCTTCTTCCAAAACAAAGTCTACGCCATCACCGGCGTGTCAGGCATCGGCCTAGCCGTCGCCAAACAGCTCCGCCAGCTTGGAGCAAAGGTCTCCCTGGCAGACATCGACGAGAAAGCGTTGGCAGACGCAGCGCAGCAACTCAGCAACATCAACCCCAACAACAGCAACAACGAGGATGTTATCCTCACGACAAAACTCGACGTCAGCTCCGCCAGCGCCGTTGACTCCTGGATCTCCGCCACAGTCGACAAATTCGGCCGTCTGGACGGCGCGGCCAACATGGCGGGGGCAATCGGGAAGCATCATGGCGTGCGCGCGCTGGTCGACCAGGACGACGGCGAGTGGGATCTCATTTTCCGCGTGAACGTGACGGGGTTGAAGAACTGTTTGCGGGCGGAGCTGCGTGCCATTTCTGCTGGGGACTGGCATGATAACGGCGAGAATATCGGGAGTATCGTCAATGCCTCGTCGATTCAGGGCCTGCAGGGTTTTGCGCTGCATGCTGCTTACTCGGCTAGTAAGCATGCTGTGACGGGTCTGACGAGGTCGGTTGCAAAGGAGGTTGCGCCGAAGATTAGGGTTAATGCTATTGCGCCGTGAGTGTCTGCCTACAACCATATACCTGCATGCATTTGTTCATTGTCCTGACTGACGAGGTGATTGCAGCGGCTCAATCCAAACCCCCCTCCTCGACAAGGCGAAAGACATCCAGGGCGGAAAACTCGAACTCCCATGTGCTTACCCCCGCGTCGGGACCGCCGACGAGGTCGCCCAGGCGGTGGTGTATCTCCTAAGCGACGCATCGTCGTACACGACGGGGACGATCCTCAGTGTTGACGGGGGATGGAACTGTTAGCCTGCTAATTAAACAGTAGATTATGCACATGTATATAAATATATAAATACATGAAGATAACCGACGCGTTGGATTATTATTTTTCTTTTCTTTCTTTTGATTCAGTCGTACTGAGGTAGATTTGATATCTATATGCAACCCGGTAATAAAAACACACACGAATCGAAAATTTGGTCCAATACTGCAAATTGAGCCCTGTCGTTTTTTCGCTGCTAGCGCGCACTTATCGCCCTATCAAAATCCAGAAAAATATTTAGTCAGCCAATCAAAAGCAGAACTCTGATGACTAATCAAAGCGACTTGAAAATTTCCCACGTACCTTCCTGTAAAGGAAATTTCTGTAATTTTCAAGGTGATCAACACCATACGCCTGCCGGTTTATACTCTATCTATGGTTCGGTTCAATCGAAACACGCGATGTTCTATCTATAATCTAAATTGATTTAGATCAAACGCTCAGAAATAAAAAGTCGCTGGTCATCAGTCATCAGAAGAATAAGAACCACACCCACCATGCAGCTGCAAAGGTCAGTTAGTCATCTACTTTTCCATTGAGTGGGTGTAGGGGAGACGAACTGAATAAAGCCAATCCCTTCCGTCGGACTATGTCGCCGACGTTGTGTGACGGTGAGCCGCTGGTTTCTTCCTCCCTGTCACACAGTTAGTATCGACGTCAAGTTCATGTGGCAGCCTTCAATTCCTCGCTTCTGGCATACCTCGTCATCGGAACCGGCCATCCGTCCTCGTACTTCAGGTAGTTGAATCCCAGGAGCGCATCCTGTCGTCGTCAGTGTTTGTCAACTCCTACCACGGTCCGACATACCTCGTCCTTCACTCCGATGGTTTTATTCACTGATACTCGTTAGCAGTCGTCACGAAACAAGTCAGCGGCACACCCACGATAGTGGTAGAAAAGAATATCCGGCTCGTTGTCCCGGCTCAACACCCCAAGCCCGCCAGGCGCGTACACCTGGCCGTCGTGGTTGGAGGCGTACACAATGTGTCCTCCGCCCCGAAGCAGTTGCTGCCCGTTCCGGTCGACGTAGGGTCCGGAAATATTCTCAGCCCGTCCCACGTGGATCGCGTACCTGGCAACAACGTTAGCAGCAGTTCTGACTATCTAGGTGCAGGGAACGCACTCCTGTCCCGGCGGTGGAAGATTCTTCTCCGTAAAGCCGCAGCATTTCCCACGACTGAACCACAGGTAATAGTACGGCTCCTTGTAACTGATCCAGGACCCTTCTTCCGGACGTTCTCCCTGCGGGTCCGAGTCGACAGGGTAGGATTTCAGCATCGCGTTGTTCTTGCCCGGCAGCGTCAGAAAGGACAGATGGCTGGCAGCCGGCGCGTTGGCGTTCTCGATAGCCAGCATGTCGTCGGTCAACGGGACTTGCCAGATATCCGTCCAGTAGCTGCCGAACGTCAGCCACGGCTTGCCGTCCGCCGGGTCGATGAAGACGCTGGGGTCGATCGCGTTGGAGACGGTGTATGGATGGATGTCCGACCCAGGGCCAGCCCCGGTGTTGATGAGCGCCCCGTGGTCCGTCCAGGTGCCAGGCTCCGCAGTCGGGGAGGTCGCAACCCCGATGGAGCTGTTGCGCGTGCCGCCCTGGGTGACGGCGTAGAAGCAGTAAAACATGTTGTTCCGGTGGATGATGGTCGGAGCCCACGGGCGCCGTGGGTTGCCCTTGTCGATGATGCTGGGCGCCTCCAGCACCGTACCCACCTTGGTCCACGGGCCGTCCATGTTGGGCGCTTTGAAGTAGTCGATGAAGGGGGCTCCTTTGAACAGGTAGTAGGTGTTGTTGTAGAAAATGATGCTGGGGTCGTGGACCTGCAGGTTGCCCACATGGGGGAGAGGATACTGATTCGCGGCCGGAGTGGCCGTCGCAGTCGGTTCTGTCGTTGTAGTCGGAGCTGCCGTTGCAAACGGTGCAAAGACGGTGATCGTGGTCAGGATCGCGATGATGGCTGGCACTGCTCGGGCCCTGGAAAGCAGGGCAAAGAGCCCGCCAAGGGCCGACGTAGTCAAGAGAAACATCGCAGCAGCTGGTCGATATTCTACAGCCGCTACGTGCCAAGACGTTGCACACCAGCAGGCTGGGAGATAAGGCAACGAGGATGACAGTATTTAAGCACAAGGCTGGCGATTTCCAGCCAGGGGAGGCCTGACTCGAGGTTCTCCATAATTAGAACCCAGGGCCGACGCGGGAAGCGCATTGGGGGCTGTCGACCGCTGCAACTGGCAGGGCCCGGTGTCGATCTCGTCAAGACGATCGTGTTCTGTCGAAAGGATGCACAGAACGCCTTGGTGCCGGCTATCCAACCAGCTCTTGTGCAATGAAACACAGAGGGCGCCGTTCGGCGTGGAGGGGCCGTTGGACGAGGTCGCGCGCTAAGGCCTGATCGACAGTGCATCAAGCGGCTGAACGAAGCTTGGCTCTCTGCTGGCCATTCTGAGCAAAGGTAAACCATGGCCCCCAAGGCCAACGCACATACAGCACATTCTGTTGAGTTTTGGATGTTCTGCACGGAGTATTCCGTCGGGGGCGATAATATATCAAGGGGCATGGAATGCCCGTTCAGGCAGGTCAATCACCACATGACCAGTCACGAGCAGCCAAGAAGCACGAGTCACTTATGTAAACTAATAGTGCAGTTGATCATGCCTCGAAAAACATAGTGCCAGCGAAGTGAGGCTTACCCACTTACCCCATACTGGGAGTCAGGAGAAATATAGACGATCATCAGACCGGATTTCGGAGTACGAACATGCATGATTCTCATTGCCTATGGACTCTCAGCTAGGGTTACGCTCCGAGTCAGCCTGGAACATGGCATGATCCATTCGGAGTTGACCCATGGAAGTACCACATAACCCTAACCAATAAAATCCCCTTGACCTTGGCATATCAGTAGATCCTTATTGCACTGAGACCCAATGAGAATGTGGCGGAAAAATCCAGGAGTCGACGAGGAGAGTCCGGAGCCTGCCGCAGACAAGTCAGGCAATCTTGCCTGAAAATTGAAAGAGTCTTCTTTGTGTCGATTCGTTTTTCTTTCGTCGAAGGAAGGGCTCCATGCCACCTACTCATACTCTTTAGACGATATACGGAAGACCGTATTCTGCGAATAACAATGGCATATATTTATATATCATTAAGTCTGATAGATGATAGTATGATAGTATGTATAGTCAAATGTATGTACGGTACGTACATTAGGGTACATTGCATCGACTCTCCTCATAACCATACTCCGGATATACTCCGTATGTACTGCTGCTTCACAGACACGCTAGGAAGACTTACTCTCAGCCACCATCCTGCCCAGCAGCCCCAACAATCCCGAGCCCTCGCATTTCTCGACATGCGACAGAGCCTGCTTGGCGCTCGAGGCATCCCGTTTGGCAAAGTTGAAGCCCGGCGTCGGCGTCACGCAGTTGTACTGCGCGTCTGCCGCGCGCAGGCCGCAGATGGCCTGAGTGATGCAGGACCCCGTGCAGCTCGACACGTCGTACCCCCGCGTCTGCCGCGCCCAGTACTCCTGGAAGGTCGCGTTGTCCTGCTCAAAGGCCACCGTGACGTTGTGCCAGAAGGCCGGCGTCAGCTCCGCCGTCGGGTCCGTCACGGGAGGCGAGAGCAACGAGCCGTACGTCTCCTTGGCCGAGTAGTACTTCTGCCACGTCGGGCCCAACTGGAACGCCGGGTCGCTGATGTTGGCAATGTAGTTGGTGAAGTCCAGCACGGCAAAGGTCTTGGGATCAACGTCATAGACCCGGAAGGTAGGCGGTCCCGAGGTCGGCGTCAACGACGGCATGATATACCCGATGGCGGTGGCCGTGTCGAACGCTCGGTTGGAATAGTTCGAGTACGAAATCTGGAACTGGTCGATGTGAGTGTGGCCGTAGAACAGCGCCGCAATGGTGGCCTCGTAGCGCTGCACGATCTGGTCAAAGTAGTGCGAATAGTCGTGGAAGTGATCCGACGTGCCCGTCGGCACATGCGCAATAATCCAGACCCGCTGCCCCGCCGTCTCGGCCTCCTGGAGCTCGTTGATCAGCCAGGCCAGCTGTCCATCCGGGTCGAAATCCATAGGGTCCTGGTATGCCCAAAAATTGTCCACGTAGTAGAAGATGCTGTTGTAGGAGATGACGCGGAGATCCGTGCCGTAGCTGCCCGGATAGATGGCCGAATAAGACCCGTAATTCGCGGCTGTCTGGGCAGAGGCTGACTGGGTCAGCATCGTAAAGTCGTGTGTGAGGGCCTCGTAGGTCCAGTTAGCGCTGTACTCGCTGGGGATGTTGCTGGTCGGCAGATCGTTGACCGGCGCCGTGTCGTGGTTTCCGATGGCCGCATAGACGAGCCCCAGCCCGGCCATGCGGTCGTAGGTGGCATTCAGGTCTTCGATGACTTCGTTCTGATCCACGAGCCAGATGTCGTGTGCGACGACGTCGCCCGTGTAGATGGAAAAGGCGGGCTGGGGGTTCAGCGCTTTGATCGCGGCGAACATACTCTCCTCGAGACTCAAGGGAGCATCGCATTTGGTGTTACCATATGGCCCGCAGGGAGTCGTCGTGTTTCCTGGAGCATCCTGGGCCGTGTAAGGGCGACAGCAGATGGGCTTTGTGCAGTTGTAATTGGACCCAGTCTCGTAGGAGAGGTCCACGTGGGTATCGCTGAAGTGGACGACCTGGATAGGCGATTCGCCACTGGGCTCTGGACGAGTGGTGTTGGGCTTGGGCTTGGGGAAGGTGAGGTTGTAGGTCCGGACCTCAGGATACTGGCAGAGGCCGAATGCGCTGGCGCAGATGACCTGGGAGGTGTGCGAGCCGATATCGAGGTGCTGCAGGATATAGTCCAGCACGGGGCCCTCGCGAGAGATGATGCCGGAGCAGACATCGGAATCTTCTTTCTAGCCACCCCGTCGAGTCAGATTGGAACGAGGAAACGAGGAAAGAGGAAAACAAATTGATTTCCTTACGCCACTGATGTTGCACACTTCGGTCAGCACGTCGACAAAGGCAGTCGTGCCCAGATCGGCCACACCCTTCAGGGCAGTCAGAACGACCTGGAACCACCACAGTCAGTGCATGCACAACAGGAAGCAATTGATGCTGGGGACGAGCACACCTGGCAGCCCGCGCAATCCACCGCATTCTTGATGTCGTCCCAGATCTCCTGGGCCAAGTCGCGCTTGTCATAGGTGGCACTGGCGGTGGCCAACGTGGCCAGGGCAGTGATGAGGGCGAGAGCTCTCATTTCGTTCGTGACGGCTGCCAGCGTCCCTGGAAGAGTTCAATGGAGTCGCTGGGATAGCCAGGCAGAAGGCCTTGGACAGAAGGAATGCACGGTCTGCCGTTCCTGCCATGTTTATATCTCCCTTTTGGGGTCCAGACTGGACGACTGTTCAGCGCGGCCACCGAGACCACGTGCGCGCGACTGATCGAGCGGGGACGCGGCAGAGTAGCATCGCGATGCAGTCAAAAAAGCTTGGTCGTTTAGCGTGTTAGTACTTAGTCATCGGCAAAGCATTAAGAGTCTTATTATTGATCAGGAGGAAACGTCACGACGCGCATGCCCGTTGAGGCTGCTAGGGACAGAACCCCGTGCCCCCAAGCGGAACCCGCCATAGGCTGCATAAGCTGGTGGTTTTTGCTCAGGGTTACATGGCGCAAACTAAGCAGTATCTCCTGCATAAAAACCATCATCAATCAGCTCTCGGAACAATTCCCACTCAATCCAATCAATCCATGAGCTAAATTTGTGGCTGTGGGTCGGTCCACTGCCGGAACAGCCGAGGCAGATCCGTGTTCCGTGCAACAGCATAAACCCAAAATAAATAGTAATTGTGATTTGATATACAATTGAGAGAACATGGATGCACGTGGATGTAGGAGAATTATACTGATTACATTTGCTGCAGAATCCATATCCAACACCTTCGTCTACCCGGTGTCTTGTCCAATCACCTTGAAGGATACACCGTTTCCAGCGGTTACAGGCGGCCAGCTGACTCCCTGGTGGTGGATTTACTTAAATATAACTAATTTTGGTCTAAATGCCTACTAATTCGAATGCAATTAGTATTAATAAAAAGTAATAATTCACTAAATAAAGAGAGTAAGAATAGTAAGTATATAGCTTATTAAATATAAATAATAATTAAAATTAATAGTATAAATAATAGCAATCTTTAAACACTAAGTACGAATAATAGCAATACCTATTCTTTGCTAAGCTCCTATAAAGATGGCAAAGGTTGGCTCGACCAGATCCCAGCAGTCTTGTTGGATAAGCATATAGGTTGATATGCTTTCCGAAACTGCCATTCGGGATGCCAATCATATGGTTGCCAAAATGTGTTATGAGCCGTGCGTCGATTCATCGATATGTGTTACAGATCTATATGCCACAGGCTAGATCTGACTGATTGCTGCGAGATTGAACCAGGCTTTTTATGTCAGTCTGAGACACCACTCACATGACGTGTAAGTCATCTAGGGAGATCGGTTCTTCAGGTCTTTGACAGAAACCACACGCATAAAACGCAAATTCCTTGCATCGCCTAATTTCAAAGCTATTGAAGGAAGAGCCGGGCTTCAATCAATTATCCAACCAAGCAAACTGCCTTCATACCCTTATCAGATGTCGCTGCACGTTTAATTAGACTATCAGATAAGCTCAGCCAGATTCTGCCGGTCCCCGCATGTCATCTGCGATGTTGGGCAAGGGTGCAGCCTGCTGTGTAACCCTCAAGGTCCCCAGACGGCGAGTGAATCGGACAAAGTATTCTTGGTAGGATGATTGACTCAGGACGGCATTGGACCTCTTTCGTAAAGCTCTGTCTGTTGTAGGTTGCTTGATGATCTCAACAATTACCATTCTGATGCGACTCTTCTCCGACAGAATTGATCTGTATCCACCATCTCAGCCCATACAGACCGTTGCAGTGACGATTAGGAAATCGTCATCCAGTTCGTATCTCGAGATTGACAGGTTAAAAGTGTGTTACACGCACACTCAACGGGGTATATGATCACCATACCGCTCCAGCAAGGCCGATATTCTTAATATTCAGCCTATATGTGCAATCAACCGCTGAAAACGTGGGGCTGACAGTTCGTATCCAAGCAGAGCCCCATCTTGTGGCACTCTCTGGCTGTCATCTTCCCCACAAATCCGGGGGATTCCCATGCCATTCATGTGCCAGAATCCGGGGACGCCCGTCGTACCTGCCGAATTGGGAACAAGCCCAGGCTGGCACTTGCCTCATTCGCCAACGGGAATTTCCCGGCAGTCGCGATCGTCGCGATCATGACTCGTGACAGGTCAGCTAAGCCCGAATCTGCAAGAGCAGACCTCTTCCATCCCTTCGACCAGCTGCCAACCCATCAGCATCGGCAAATCCCCTTTGCGAGATGCCCTTTTGCTTGAGTGCTCCGTACAGATGATGGTCATGACAATTATAAATCGGCACGCTTTATTCTGTCGATCGCTCCAGAAATGCTGTGTTAGATATTCGTATTTACCAAAACTCTACTCGTATTTGCTCGACAACAACAGGCTTATACCATGCTGGTCCCACAGGTGGCGTGCAGCCCCGCAGCGAATTCGAAAGGAACTGCTTCCTGGAGGAGGAATTGTCCTGGCGTAGTCCTGTTTGATCATAGTGATGACGATCCGGGGAGGATCGGGTTCCCTGCAGGTTAGGCCCGGGGTTATAAGCACGCCGCTGCAGCTCGCCCAGCACGGTCGAGGTCGACTCAAACAACATCGACACGATAATGGCGACCGAAGTGCAAAATACGCATCGTCTGGCTCACAGGTACGTTGGAAGTTGCTGGATCTGAGGCGTGCCACGTCTAATCATCGCAGCCATGCGCGCGAGGGCGATATCCCGGGTACCGTCGATCTCAACGCTGCAGAGGGTGATGAGACCGGATATGGGCAGGCCCTGTTTCCAGTGCCAGCGGAGGATCCTAACGACCCTCTCCAGGTATCCATCCTGTCTGGCTGAGTGAAATGAAAAGCACTAACTCAGAAAAGTGGCCAAACTGGAAGAAGACCGCCATTCTCGTCATTGTTTCTTTTTATTCCTTCCTGGGGAATGCCAGTCTCCTAGGCCCTTCCGTGTACATCACGATTTACAGCGAAGAATTTGGCATCTCTCCATCCACCGCGTCTGGGCTTGTCTCCTATCCCAATCTCGCATTTGGGTTTGGTAATAACGTCAAGGATACTAAGAAGACTATGTTCAGGACTGACATCGGCAGGGTCCCTCATCCTCGTTCCGCTCTATCTCAAGATCGGACGTCGGCCCGTTACCTTGTTATCAATGGCGTTTGTGCGTCAACCCTTAAACGTGAAGCATTGCCGTGCTGACGAGTGGTAGTTTGTCGGCGGATTGATTGGCGCTTCCCAAGCAACGACCTATACTGGGCTGATGATCGCGCGCGTCTTCCACGCATTTGGGAGTGGTGTCTGCGAATCTCTTCCCGTGCAGATGGTCAACGATATATTCTTCCTCCACGAGCGTGGGAAGCGGATTGGCTACTACACAAGTATGCATGAAACAGATACTGAGGTTCTCGCGATTTTGCTAACAGCGGTTAGTCTGTCTCTGCCTTGGTTCGACCGGACCGTTATATGCTGGTTATATGCTGGCCGGCGGCTACTCATGGAGACTGTTCTTTTACGTTGTGATCGCTTTTGCGGTAGCACTGTTTGTAGCGGCGTTTTTCCTAGTGGAGGAGACCACCTACCACCGGCCGGAACCGAAGCCCTCGCCTCCACCGACCATCGCCGACGAAAAGGTGGAGAAAAGACATGAAGAGACTGTCGTCGCAGCGGCGCCGCCGAAACGGAAGGGCTTTATTTCGACGCTGAAGCCGTGGAGCGCGATCGACCCGGACGCGGAGTTTTTCACGACGATGATCCGGTCGTTCACGTACTTTTGTGTACCGGCTGTGCTGTGGGTGGTGACGAGTTTCGGTATGCAGGTTGAAATATTTTTTTCTTTCTTTCTTTTTTTTTTCTCAACGACTAACGTATGAACAGGAATATATATTGGGTTGGGGGCTTTGGCCTTCAATTACACCTTTCCGATCAAGATCACATCGCCGCCGTACAACTGGTCTGAGGTGGGCTCTTGATGAACGTGTCAATGATCATGCTGACTGGAACAGACGAATTCCGGGCTCATCGCCGTGGCCACGATTATCGGCTATCTGCTCGCACTGCCTTTCACGTCGAGCTCGGACCGCCTGGCGGCATATCTGACCAAGAAGAACAACGGCATTCGCGAGGCGGAGATGCGACTGGGCGTGCTGCTGCTTCCGATGCTAATCTCACCGGCGGGGCTGATTCTGTACGGAATGGCGGCGCAGAAGAACCTGCACTGGATCGGGTACTTTGTCGGGGTGGTGATGGACCAGTTCGGGTCGTACTTCTACTTTACGTTCACGCTGGCGTACGCGGTGGACTCGTACTACGCGAACACGTCGGAGATGCTGATCGCGATGAACCTGGGCAAGCAGGCCATCTCGTTCGGGATGGGACTATACCTGCTGAACTGGATCATGGAGCGGGGGTATGCGGTGGTGATCTCGGGGATCTTCTGCGGGGTGCTGCTGGCCAACAACCTGGCGGTGATTATCTTTATGATCTGGGGGAAGAGGATCCGGCGGTATACGTCGCGGTCGTGGCTGGGGCGGTTGCACAGGGGGACAGCGACGGGAGGTGTTCTCTAACTAGTATGTCTGCTTCTGTATATACATACATACATTTGAGAATGATACAGAATTGAAACAACAGAAATCGATTATAATAAACATTATTATCTGAAACTAAAAGGGATAGATGGAAGAATGAGTATCATACGTAATTAATTCAACAGCTTTGCATTGCTTTGCTCTACTTAAAACAAACTCAAGAAGATCCCATTATTACACAGTAACAAATAAACAAATAAGCTATAACAGTATAAACTTAATCTCTCTCTCAACCAGATCATTTATCTCATTTCATCATTCATTCATTCACTCGAGAGTAAAAGTATTTCTACATTAGATACCTAGATAGACACCTGAGGTAAATAAATACCAAACAAGGCAACCCCCCCGCCACCCACCCACCCACCAACCTAACCAAACCTAATTTCTGATTTTTGAATTTTTCCTTTATAAATCACTAACCCGTTCCGCCTCCCGAACCACGAAAAAGCATGTTAGCTCAGTGGGGGAGCGCCGGGCTCATAACCCGGAGGTCCTCGGATCGAAACCGAGACATGCTAGTGGTTCTTTTCTTTTTCTCGGTCTTAATTTTTGATTTTTTTTTAATGGTGCGTTGTTTATTTCTTTCGGACAAAAATTGTTATTCTTTTATTTTATTTATTTATTTATTTATGCATGATGGGTGTATTTATTTTTTCTTTAGTCGTGATTGGTAGAGTACTCCGGAGTAGTGTTTCTGAAATATATATTTTACAGGAGTACTGCCGTCTATATAACGTTGGTGACATTATCGAATTCCCAACAGAATGGATATACCCTGTACGCCCTTATCGCGCTGGATAAGTACTGTACTGTACATTGAAATATTTAATTATTCATGGGCTTTATTTTAATCGAGGTATTTATTTATTTCATTTTATTTATACTTCCTTCTGAAATACTGAAATCAATACATGAAGGTATTTGATACAAATGCGTTTATTTGTATATAGGCAAATGTAATAAATAAATTGTAAGTAAACTGTCAACGCATTTTTACATGCGAAGAAAAAAAAGTTTTTTAAAAGCACGACCTGCATGCGTCTCTCTTTCTCCCCTTCTCCCCTTCTCTCTTTTTTTTAAAAATTCTTTTTCCCTGTCTCCTGGCTTGTGGTGACAACGAATGACTCTAGTTGGTTGGTCACATCTTGCCCGGGTTATAACTTATGCAGACGAGTGGGTCGATGATGTCGTTCGATGAGTGACAGACAGTTGCATCTCAAGCTGGAGCTGAGCTGAGCTGAGCTGAGCTGTCACAGACCGGTCGGCACAGGAAGTCTCCCCGTCATAGGGAAATGACCGGTCGGAACAGGCCGGTGGTGGCCATGCAGAGCTTCGTCCTCCTCAGATGGCAGCAGATGCAGACCGCGGCGGACAACCGAGCGAAGCGACTTGTGGCGGAGCAGCTCGTCGACAGACGCGTCAGTCGCGGGGACGCTCCCCGGCGGGGAGAGGACGCCCCCCGTCGGGATGAGGATGGTGCTGGACGCAGGAGGGAAGTTGACCTTCTCGTGGTGAGGGTGCATGTGTCCCGGTAATCCTCCGGTCGGCGTGGGCAAGCCCGTCGGGGTGAGAGGCCATCCCGACGGAGTGGGAATGGGATGCTCGTGCGGATGCTTGGCCGGAGCAGCAACGGCGGCGCTCACGAGAGCGAAGGCGGCGGCCACAGACGTGAACTTCATGGTAGGGAGGGTTGTGTAGAAGAAAGAGGGGGCTGAGCGACAAGATCTCTGATCAAGGAAAGTCAAGTAAGTCAAGGAAAGTGATGAAAGGAACGGAAGGTTAGTACGGAGTAATACTAATAAGAATGTCAATAGGAGACGCGCCCTATTATTTTATTTTATTATGGAGAAGAAACTTCCAGCAGACCCGGGAGCAGCCCTTCTAATATGGCAGGCCTGGCAGGCCACAAGGAGATCGACAGGATTCCATCCTCAATGATTGATCCCTGGACACTGAGGATAGGAGTGTGCTGGCGCCCATTCTGGAAAGCGAGATGAAAATCCTCTTGTCGCACGAGGTGCGAGTTCGCTTAGCTTGAGTTGATCCACTGCTCCTGAAATGAGAATTGGCAGTTCTGTACGGAGTACATACACACAAGGCGTGGATTGGCTGAGAGAGAATGCGATATCGGTCCTGAACTTATTCCCTCATTATTCTGTACCTTGAACCAGGCTACCAGCTCGATCCATGGATGTCGACCGAGACAGCAGCATTTCTGGCCCCTCGACTCAGGGCTTCTTCTGTCAGTTTGCCCTGGAAGGCTGAAGCCGGACGATCATCGGAGTCGGCTGTTCTGGTGGAGCAGCGATCCACACCGGCTTTTTTCAAGCCCAACGGCGGCCGCTCTCGGAACCGGATTAGGCGGCTCTTATATAGCAGTGATGAGCGGCGGGTCTGACCAACGGTATAATAGTGATGTTCATGGATAGGGAGGCGTATGAACCAGTACGGCGGATCCTTATCTACCGTCATAGGCAGGCAGTCCCTTCAATGCGACAGAAATTGCCCAGGTGTGTCATGCTGTACTCCTTCTCGGAGAATCCAGATTCCACGTGCCCAAGAGATGACCATGCTACCTGTGATTGCGTGATGGATTATGGATTACAACGAATTGTCACAGTCTGTTTTGCTAATTACGATTGAAGAATCAGATAGAGTCCCTCGAGTCTGCTACCGACAGTCCAGGTGATAGTAGGATGCTTTCCTGGACTATGCCGCCTACGGCATTCCGGACCAGTCTTGATTTGAGTCGAGTGCAGCAGCACATTGGATGGGGTTGGGTTAATTCTGGTCGAGCTACAGCTGTGAACAAGCTCATACTGGCCCACCGTTCGAAGTTCTGGACCCGTGGCTGGATCGGTGAGATGTTGCCAAGAGATCCAAAGTTGGAGACTCATGGTGCTGTTTATCCTTCAAGATAACTGCTGAGTCTATTATTATTAAGTTTGCACTAGAGGTAGGAACGAAGTGGACAAAATGCGTCAGACAATGACAATATCCAGTACACTTTTCTTGGACAGCATCACCAACTAGTCAATCCACGCGTTCTGTCGAACCCTCCCCGCAGCTGATACTCCGGGTGCACGACTTTGCCCTGGAGGATGGTGTACTTGACGATACCCTCACAATGCTCCGGCCGCACGCGGGCCAACCAGATCATCTGGCCTTCCTTCTTCCGATACACGAGCACGTTGGCGGCGAACTTGTGGCCGCCGACATGGGAGACGTAGTAGATGCCAACTCCGCCCGGCCGCTCGTCGTCCGCGTCGCGATACAACCCCGTCGGGCGCAGATGTCGTTCCAACTCCTTCCTGATCAACGGGGCGGAAATGCCGCATCGGGCGTCGCGCCGCTTGTGCGAGCAGAGCAGGACGACGTAGTCGTGCACGCAGGGCCGTGACACCAGTCGGGACGTCTGATCTGGAGCTGTGGCGTCTCCGTCCACGAAACGGGAGATCAGTTCGGGGATGTCTCGACTTGTGACATTGTCGACAAAGGTAAACGACGGCAAGAGAAGCACCGTCGTGCTGTCATCGGAATCATCTTGCCGTGATTCGTGCCGGTGGACTTGGAGATTGGACGCAGACACCATAATGCGCTAGATCTCGTCAGTAGAAGCCTAAGAGGTTAAGTTTGATACGAACCCCATTCTGCGATTTGACCGGACTCTCGTGCAGCGCCTCCATCAGACTGCCCTTCTCCTGCTCGACCTTGCGCGTCCAGTCTGACCGGCCGGTGGCCACCAGGATGTGGGTGGTGAAGGGCTTGATATGGCCATACAGGTCGCGCTGGGTGTCGATGTGGAACTTCTCCGGCAGGTGGACGGTGCAGTCGGCGCAGTCTTTGAGGCAGTCAGGGCCGTCTTCGTCAGGGTTGACGGTGGGGAAGATGTAGTCGCATTTGGACTTGGATTTGTGATCTTCTTCTGCTCTACTGCCTCTGGAGAACCACGACTTGAGCATTTTGGCAGGTTCTGAAATGCAGTCCTTGAAAGATAATGTTCTACAATTAGCGATTATGTCTGAGAAAAAGTAGCATCGCTGGATTAATGATTTCTCTTCTCGCCTGTTTATTATTTATTATTGTGCAGGATAAACCCGAGCCCGAGGACTAACACCGAGGCGCGCAGACGGAGATCTATTCAACAGCGTAATCTGATGCACTAAGATGGACTAAGGGCAAGAAGGAAAGGCCAGACTGATGGATAAGCTGCTTTGGCCAGGCAGCCATATTTGACCAGTGTTCTGCTTTGTGATTGGCTGGCTGGCAGGATTTTACAGGACAGCCATTGCCCTCCGCTGACCATCTCGTTTTGCAAAATAACATTATTTCTTGGAGAAAAAACTATACATTAATGACCCTCTTAATCTATTTCTTTCAGAAATATCTTGATTCGTGAATAATCTGTTGTTGCTGCTAAGCTGCCTGCTGTCCACGTGTCCTCGGGGCTGCATGCCGGTCTCGGCAGTCTCGGCCGGCACGCCTTCCGAGCCTCCTTATTGACCGCGATAATCAATTCAGCGACTTCAGCTTCAACCTGACATAAGAATATATTCTTGGCAGGCCCAGCTCCAGCAAAGACTTCTGTCTACGCGCTCAGGCCGCGGACATGTCTGCCATGCCCGACCCGGAGCCGCAGGAACGCCCGCGGAAGAGGCGCCGCCGCACGGTGGCCTGTACGCAGTGCCGCAGCAGGAAGCTCAAGTGTGATCGCGAGTATCCCACCTGTAGCCGGTGCATCAAGAGCGGCACGCCCGCCAAATGCACCTACGAGGACGGCTTCCTGTGGCAGCAGCCCAAGACGGTCGCCTCGTCCGGCCTGACCGATCGCTTCAGCAGCCGCATCACGCTGCCTCCGCCCAGCGGTAACGCGCCGGCCGCCGCGACGTCTCCAGATGCCACCCCCGCGGCCTCCAATCCGCCTCCGACGGTCTCCGCTGCAACAGCTGGGCCCCCCAGAGCGCGGTTCCTGGACACCGTCCTGGGCACGTCCAATCCCATGGTCAATCGCTGGCCGCGCACTCCGGACGGAGAGTCCTGGCATACGGCCTCCCAGCAGCGCAAGTCGGAGGATCACCCGCCCGCCTCGCCTTCGCAGCAGCTGGACCTGCCCAACAAGGTGATCATCCGCGGCAAAGAGACGAAAACCCGCTTCAATGGAGGCGGGATCATCGCCAATCTGATGCTCCAAGTAATTTCTTTCTTTCCCTCTGCTCTGTGTCCTGTGTTGTGCGGCATTGATGGCTGAAACTGCGCTAGTTCCCTCAGCTGAAGCCCTTCATGGCGGAGCTCAAGTCGTCCAATCCGTCCATCAAGCGAGTGCGCCGGAATCTGGATCTGGACGCCGTCAAGCGAGGCCATCACAAGGCCAAGTTAAAGGAGCCCATCCCCATTCCGGACACGGAAACGCTGCTCTCCCTGCTGCCGCCGCGCCCGGCCGTAGAGGAGCTGTTCGGATTGTATCTGCTCTACGTCGAGTCGACCCACCGCGTGATCCATATCCCCTCCTTCCGCCAGGAGATGGAGGAGATGTGGGCCAAGAAGGACAATCCGGACTTGGTCTCGGCGCCCTTCGTCGTGCAGCTGCTCCTCATTCTCGCCTCGGCAGCTGGCTTCTTTGAAGCCGAGCGCCCGCCCGAGATGGCCAACTCCGCCATCAGCCGGTCATTGCGCGTGCTGGACTGGATTCGCTATGCGGAAAAATGGATCGACAACTCCAACATCAAGCGACCCGACCTGACGGTGCTCCGCATCCGTTGTTTGCTCGTCATCGCCAAGAACAACCAGGGTCTCAATCGCAGCCGTGCGTGGCTGTCCACGGGCATGTTGGTCAAGCTGGCCATGCTAGCCGGCTACCACCGGGATCCGGACAACATCCCCAAGATCACCGTCTTCAGCAAGGAAATGCGGCGACGGATCTGGGCCACGATCATCGAGCTCGATCTGCAGGTCGCTCTGGACAGGGGGATGCCGCCCACCTTGCAGCCATCCGACTTTGATACCGCGCCGCCGTTGAATATCAACGACGACGAGGTGAATGAGAATACGGTCGAGGCTCCCCGGTCGAGGCCGCTGCACGAGGTAACGGACTCGACATTCCAGTGTGTGCTCGCGCAGTCTCTTCCCCTGCGGTTAAGGATCTGCGCTTTGATGAACTCTCCTGTCGTGTCGTGCTCGTACGAGGACATCCAGAGATTGGAGTGGGAGTTGGGCCGCTTTCATGCCAGTCTCCCGACGTGGCCGGCGGCCTCAGACAGTCAATTGAATCACAAACTTATTCTGTGGAGGGCGCTTCTGGAGACAAAGTTAGGCCAAGGACTCCTCGCCATCCATACTCCGTTCGCCATTGAGGCCAATGAGGATCCCCTGTTCGAACCGTCCTCGCGGGCGCGCCTCGAAGTCGCGACCGTCATCCTGTCCAGACAGCTCCGGTTGCACGAAATATCGATGCGGCTGTCTTTCAGTCATCTGTCTGATAGCACCCTCCAGGCGAGTCTGTCGATATTACAACATCTATACGCGACGAGAACCGGCTACAGTAAGTCGAAGTCAACAATGCAGGGAAGAAGCATACTAATCTGGATGTTCTCAGCCTCGAGCTTGCTCCGGCAGGTATTACCAGGGATCACAGAATCCCTTCTTGATCTCGTCGAGAAGACCCTAGCGTGTATGGAGACCAAGCTCCTCCTCATCGTGAAGGGCGCGAAGCAATTTTTCTTTCTGCACATGATCCTGGCCCTGGTCAAGGCGAAGCTCTGGCCTGACCAGGCAGAATCCCTCAAGAAGGGAGCCATCGACCGGATCGGCGTGATTGCATACAGTCTGCTAGCGCATCACTCAGACGGCTCAGCGAATGATGCCGAGGGGGTAAGTTTGCGTTAAACCTGTCGACAAGTTTATGGCGTTAGCTCTATCTAACCCCAACGTAACGTTAGCAGGTTCCGAGTCTGGCGTCCGGCTCTGTCCCGACTCCGCATGATAGCACCAGTGCGAGTGCTTTTGACGGGACCAGTCTTCCTGATCTTGCGATCACGGTAAGAAATCACCCAGTCTGCCGTCTACCACTCCGCCGAATTATAGACACCAGACACTGACGTTGTTTTGCAGCCGCCAGAAGACTTCAACACTCTACTCGAAGCCTTTGACTGGGAGGACTTTTCCACTTTTCCATTCGCAATATAATGACCAAGCCGGATGGACCGGTTTGCGAAGCATGCATATATCTGCGGTCGCTGTATTTATTTATCTATCCACTATACCGTATTGTATGGTGTTGTATTTACTATACTCTTTTTTTTTTTGTGTTGTACTGTACATATGGCATGTTGTATAGGCTGGGAAAATGTGATCGAGTAGGGATCAGGGTTGTTAGTGAAGTCGAGTTTGTTTTTTTTTTTGACAATTTATTTCATTCACAAGTCTATCTATTCGATGTTGATTCACTGCCTTTAGGCTCGAGTCACTGAGCTGGGCTGGATACATAGGTATGCACTGTACTGTACTGTACATACATACATGTAGGTAGGTTGGTACTACTTAACTCAATTCTGTGAGTATAAGTAGCTATGGTGAATCCTTCTTAGTAGGACTAGCTAGTTACGTTGCTGTTACTGTCATTTTTACTGCGGCATATTCGCTGGGGATTTTCGTCTTGTTTTTTTTCTTTGTATGTCTTCACCTTCACCTCAGCAGATGCATATATGGGTATTCACTACATACCTATGTAGTACTACTTCTTGATCTCTGTCTCAAAGGTATATATAATCCTATAATCTACCGTCTCATGCTGTACTCCTCCTCCTTCTTATCTTTCTTCTTCTTCTTCTTCTCTACTACTGTTTTGTCTATCTACATCTACTGGGTTATATATACTATACTATACTATACATTTTATGCTTCCCTTGAGCGTCTCTGTCCACATACGATACTCAGCTTATGCTATTGTATAGTATAGAGTGGACTGCGCTGCCGGAAATCAATCAACTTTCTTGAAGCACACGCACAAGCACACGGACAAGGTGGATTTGGTGTCGTGCCTTCTTGTAAGTTCTATCTATTGAATCTTTTTTTTTTCGGTATCGTGGAGAGATGTGGCTGCTGACCTTGAAAAAGATCCTCTGTCCCTAAACACTCAAGTTTCAAACCCGGATCAACCATTCGACTTCTACTTCGAGGGGCCTATACAGAAGAACCGCCGCAATGGACAAACATCTTTGGTCCGCAGACCAAGGTTGGTATATATCTCTATAGATCGAGCGGCTGCAAGACCAGTGGCCACCATCACAGGTCGAGAGTTTGATCCACATTGCCAATGAACCAGTGTTTATGCGGCCAACAACGAAGAAGCCCTACTATTAACAACAAAGTCGATATTCGATGGGATCCCCGTTTGAGGAAATATGATGATCGAGGCTGCGCCTTCCGGACAAGAGCGGCAACTGAAAAACCCTAACGTGGAAGGACCCGTGTTACGGTGCTCTTGCTCCTTCCCGTATTACACCCATTAGTACCTACTCTCAGCATCGACTTCCCGTGTCGTCGCTGAAATCTGGAATTCAACTCTTCATCATGAACAACTCCGTCAACGTTCTCACCGAGGAAAGCGACAGGTCTGTTCTCTAACCTCCTGTCGACGGTCATACTCTTTCGTTTCGTTCTATATATTGCTGTCTCGAAGCACTCTCACTTCTTCATCTCAAGATGGTAGGCCAGCTAGCTAGCTGGTCTAGCCTTGGGTGATCTCCTCGTCGATATCCGTCCTATAGTTATTTTGTGATGTCCTCAGCCACCAACGTTCCCAGAGTGGCCGACACACCCACTCTATGGGACGAGGAAAACAGGCGGTTTTTATGCTGTGAGAATGGGCACAGGTCCAAGGACACTTGGAGCAGGGGAGAGTCAAGAAGGACGGGGGAAGGTATGTATATCACTGACGGAAAATCACCAGCTTTGTGAGTATCGAACGTTTGGCTGATCAAACACAAACAATTCCAGTCCATCCTGAAGCATTTTTCGAACATTTTTTGATGCTGCTCGGTGATTCGCTATACTGACCGTCCGTGCTTGCGCAGACTGGCCAGAGAACCCATCAGCGCCCCCCTCCCCCAGACTGCTGCTGCTGGGCTGGAAGATTGAGCCATGAAAAGCAATGTGAGAATCATTTCCCTTCTTCTTTCAACACAGGAGAAACTTCTAGAGTCATTTAGCCTTGTTAGAGTATTGTAGCACTAATTTTTTTTTGCGTTTTTTTCTTACAGGAAAGAAAAGATGCCGCTGTGGTGGTCTTCAACACAAAGGGGCTTGTCGCCCTCGCTGTGCGGGGTGCGGCAAGCCCAATCAGGGCCCATGTAGAGCGTCCTGTGACAGATCCTCCAGCAGTTAATTGCTTTCCGGCGTCTTGGGAAGCTTGATAAAGACAGCTTCGATGCAATGCTAAAGAGAAGGAGCAAGACATGGCCAACTTGACGACATACCATACGCATTCATTGGCGGAGTCGCATGCCGCCTTCTCGGCTCTAGAAGGGATACAAATGATATCGACATCATTGTTCCCAATGGACATCGAAGACACGTCCAGAACCTGTTGGCAAGAAATGCGGCCATTTTTGGAATGGCCAGCACAACTAGGAATCTGTGGATGAAAGTGCTCAATTTCTGCATTATATATATGCTTCACAAGCTTCAGAATCACCAGTCGTCGTTTTTTAAGAGTATTCTCTGCGACAAATGGCACGAGAGTATGACCTCTCTTGTGGTGAGCTGATGTCATGCTCCCCCGTGAAGAAAAAAGTCATTGTCCAGGAGCTTAAGGTGGAGCTAGACATGGGTTCCATGACCTTTAGCGTTCGATTCTCAGCGTGTTCCCGCAATTTGACAGTGTCGCAGAGGCAGGTTCGCCTTCCGATGTACCTTTCCTCTACTAGCAGACGCTTTTCACGCTGCTTGACCCTCACTTCAGTACCCAACTTCATCCCTCAGCTCACTCTCGCTGTCACTACTACCAGCTGAATGCTCTTCTTTCCTTGGCCATACCTGCGCCTTCGACAAGAACAGACAACCCCTCTCCTCTGCGCACAATGCCTCATATGGATTACGCCGTCGAACTTGGACAAGACCGGTGCCATGACATTGTCATGACGAAGTACCGGGAGAGCTGCACCATTGACGAGGCAACCGGCTGCTGGTTCTTCAAGGGCTCGCGCAACACCGATGGTTATGGGCAGGTGTTCGCAAAGAAGTCATCTCGTGCTGGACTGGGATTGAAGCTGTCATTGGGCGTGAGTATGATATGAAGATCCCACTGATGATCAGCTCAAGATGCTCGGCTTAGCCTATACTGATGCTGTGGAGTATGAACACAGAAGCTAAAGGCACACTGCACTGGCGGGCACTCTAGTCGCTCTAAAATGAATACCTGCATCTGACCAGCCTTGCTATTACGTCTCTCTTTTTTTTTCTCCTTTGATGCCGAGCAAAATCCGCGACAAGCGCAAAGCAATTATGTTTCAATCAAATTCTACGAGGTACTCATGGTGCCAATTCGACTATGGGAGGCCGAAAAAGCCAATAAGTATGACAACTTCCGACTTCTATTTTCTCTTGAATATTTATCTTGTGGATGAAATGCTGACCTGCCATCTCGCTTAGACGCTCAGCGACTTCATCTGCCAAATGCCAAATTTCGAGCTCGGATAGCGCAGGTGCTGGCAGTTGTCGAGCTGATCAAGCAGCATTCACGTTCTAGTTCTGTCAATCTACAGATGCAACAACTGCGGATTTAGAGTATAAAACTCCTGTTATTCGACCTGAAATTTTCTCGCGGCTGCCCGTTCGTTCCAGGACGTTCTCACTGCAAAACCGTCATTCTGTTATCGACAATGCATCCAACGCGCTTCATTCTGAGGCCGGACAGAGACTACTGACTTTGAGCAGAGAGGAATGCCTCTTTACTTGGAGCGCCAGGCACCTCCTAGGCCAGTCAGCATCCGACGGCGATCTTCGAGACAAGTTGTTCCAAGTAGGTCAATGCGCACGGTATGAATTATAGAAACCTTCAAAGAAAATAAAGAGCTGATCGACTTCAGTTTACGCTGTCACCGGAACACAGAATTCCTACAATCACCTGTGGGCACAGTGACGGGCATTTGGAATCCAATCCTCGGATGGCAATTTCCAACTCGTTTTTCTTGGATGTGCTCTCGTCCACCCAAAGCTGGCTGACCAGCAAAGTCCAGAACCCTGGTAGCAAAGTATACCTAGCAAAGTATGCTGAACATGTGGATGAGATGCAGAAAGCGAGGAGAACTGTACTTGACAAGGATACGCTGCCACGATCGCTCTAGCACGCAGCTCGGGTTGTACCTCATCAGATCAGCGTGGAAATGTCCATCCATCAGATCATAGTTGATCTCAACAACCTTATCCACACGCAAGATAGTACTGATAACTATGTTCTATCTAGAACTCGTTCAGAAATCGAGCTCGAATCGAGGCCGGAGTAACGACCGGCCAAGAGCGGCCTGATGATAGCGGCCTTAGAAGCCGTAATGTCAGCTGGCAAAAGCCCAACAAAAAGAAGGAGAAACGGAAGGAAAGAAGAGTGTATGTGAGGTGGTTGGAAGAAATGGCAGGAATGACGGAGGCCGTCAACTGGGTGAGAGACCGTCGCTGTCTTTACGGTCGACCGTTGGATCGATCCGTTTCGACACATGGTCGTAACCCACATATGCCATTCTACAAGCGCTACCGGTAGAGAAAATTTCGAGCATTACAACATACGAGATCATGCACTGCGTGGTTCATCAGAACTCTTTTCATATGTTGGCTGAACGAGCAAGTGTTCTATCTATCCAGAACAGAGACCCATCAAAGGTGGACTCCTTGCAGCACGACACTGAAGACATTCAGTTCTTAAGGGTATATCTGGCTATGGGACGAGATACCCGTCCAGGCAGTTTTCAACAAATCGTTGGCATCTCGATTCCAGGCCTGGTCGCGGCATGCATCGACGACC